GTCGCTGACACACAGAGCAGAGCTCAGCACTGCACTCCACTCCCTGTGAGGAGCTGCAGCCGCTATCAGGCCTCCCCTCAGCTCCTCTGCTCTGCGCTGAGCAACTCCATCAGAAGGACAGGTCTGACCAAAGAGAGATCAAGAAAGCTACAGAGAAACAACTAGAGGTCATCACCCTCCTCAGCATGCCTGCTCACTACACCTTGACTTTCCTGAGTGTCTCCATGCAGCCCGGCTACAGCCCTGTCCCCACAGGAGGGGCTGAGGCCACCAGCAGAATAACACGGGGAAGTTTACACTGCAGCTTCCCCTCTCTGCTTGGGACACGGCTGAAAAGCTTCTCGCTTGTGTGCATGCTTACATACACAGATAATCGCAGCACATGGATCACATACTTTTATTTACTGTTTGGATAGAAAAGAGCATGAAAAAAATCCATCTTTGTTCCATTTGCTACATTTATAAGAAATACAGTAGTGTGCTAAGACATGCAGTGCCCCTCCATTCAGAAAAGGCAAAGAACACAAATGAACAGCAGTTGTTTCCAGAACACGCCAGTTCCTTGATTACAAAAACACTATCAAAACTAGGAAGATCTATAGTACAGAGAAAATGCTGGCAGGGAAATCATTTACTGCTACCACGAAAGACTGATCGGAAAAAAAGCCAAATCAATTCACAGAATTTTGAAGGCCCATAAGAACAGTTGTTCCTGTGCCATCAACAGGAGATTGATGTCCCTCGAGGTGTGACACGGAAGCGGCTCCATCCGCACAACTGAGCTGAGCCATCCAGCACTGACATTGTCTGGCTGCAACTTCCACACGCGGAAATGGAGGTGGAGCCAGCAGGTTATGTGGGCCCACTCTTATACAAAACATGCTGCCCCAAATGGTACATGCAGCTTTTTCAGATACAGCTGGTATTTTTTTAAAAAATTATTTGTTTTTAAGTTCATTTTTTGAAGCTCCAGTTTCTGGAGTCAGGTATGCTAGATAAAAACTGTCTGTAAAAACCAGCAGGTGGGTTTTACAGCAGCAGAGGAAAGCTTTAGCATTTTAATCACAGCGAACATTTAATGCACCCAGATCAGAAGACAAACACCTCATTTCCTTCCTGGGTTTTTAAACTAGTGCTAAGACCTAAGGGCTCATGATTTCCAGCATTTGAGATGAACAACAGTGCTGCAGCAAAGCCCACCATGTCTCCCCAGTCAATTCATATCCAGAAGTTCAAGATCATTCCTAGCTTAAACCATCTCAGAAAGAAAAAAGGACGTAGGACACCAAAGGCTACTTTGTCCTATCTCTCAATACCTGTTTCCTCCATAGCTTTGACTATTTCCTTCCCATCAGACTCCAGTCTCTTCCACCTCCCATCCACCGCCTTCACCCTCTACTTCTCTTCACCCCTCTCCCTCATCTACCTGCTTTCCCATCTGTTCTTGGCTCCCCTCCACACGTAGCTTTAGAAAACCAATGCACGCCTGACTCCAAACTTCAGCTCTGTCAGTCCACAATCACTTCCTTGTCCTTGCATTCCTCTGACCCGATCTGATTTTAAAGGTTGGAAGGTGCTGGAGAATTTTGCAGAAAAGAATATGGTGCCCAGGTGCTGCATGGGGTTGGGGCTGTTCACGTCCAAGAGGTTTCTCAGATGCAGTCTTGGATGATGATTTAATGGTAAGAGAGCTGAAACTGCTGCAGTCTTCTGGGAAAGGCTCATGCTCACCCCGTGCTCTAGCGGACGAGTGATGCCATCTGTGCTGCCACCCCGAAGGGAGCGGTGTAGGCTGTTGCCAGTCCTTGCAAGCCGACCACCAAGTAGCGGCATCCTTTCTGCAGGGCTTTGCCGACGTTCTGCAGGGAGAGGTGAGGGAATGGGGTGGGGAAAAAAGGACAGGTAATGGAAAAGAGCTTCCCAGGAGACTGTTCTGATAGCGGCCTTAATGTGCAGTGTTCACAACCAGCTTCTCCCACAGCTGAAGAGGGCTTCAGCATGGAGTTGTTTTACCGTCTATTTTTACCTAAAAATACACACCCACAGAGCACAGTTGCACTGAGCGGATGCAGCCTCTGCAGGAAGTGAGGCTTTATTTGGATTTTTATTCGGGAATAAAAACAATTTCAGTTCACATCCAGTATGTGTGTCCCACAAACACATGGCGTAAGTATGTCTTAAAAGCACATAAATTTTGTGTCAAAACAAGACTTCTTAAATCAAAACAGAATGTTTTGATCCATGTTGACCACTATATGTATTTCAGAACTCAAGTGTACTGCATGAGAACAGATTATTAGAAGTAAAACCTGAGCTAATTTAAATCTCTCTCTAGTTGTTGCTCACATGGGTGTTCATGACTGGGGAATGAATACAACGGGTGCAGCCTGGGAAGAAATCCCAACTGTGAGTCGGTGCCACTTTATGGGTGCCTGGGCCTAGATCAGAAATGTCTCCTGTGATGCAGAAAATACTGCAGCAGGATGTACTTACACACATAATGACAGCAGTGAAATCCATTATCTGTCACATTCCTAAGATTTCTTACAGCTAGATTACCGTGATCCTGCTACAGGAAAACCATCACCTGCATCACCACACAGCTGAATGCTGCTCTATTTGCAGCTCTGGAAACATACCTGAAGGGAGTTAGGATGGCAAAACGGATGGGGATGGAGGAGGACCTGTGGGGCCGTGCTCACCCCTGCCCTGCCGTATTGCACTGTGACTTTGTGTTCCTTGTCTGCCCCTCACCCCACGCACCTGCCCCACTCACCAGTGCCTTCATGGGCTGTTCCCTATGGCAGTGCTACGGAGTCCAAGCAATGCCAATGGGAGTGGCACACAAGGCCCTGGGGGCTGCTATCAGCATCTGCACGGCAGTGGCACCGAGCAAAAACGATCCCCTGCGGTGTAACCACACTCACAGACTGCTCGTGTGCAGCACGGTGAGCTCTGCTGCTATGAGGCTGCTGCTTAAGGTGCATTTCCCGCATCTTGGAAAGCAACACTGGAAACTGCAAGTACTGAATCCATCACAGGAGACTGAAATAAGTGGTTCCTATTCATCTCTGCTTTACGGAACAGAAAAACTTGTGAGGCAGCTCATGACTGTGCTGTCAACCGTGAAGTCTTACGAGTTTCAATAGTAAGTGATTTGCCAAGCTAACTGGCGTTCTTTGGGTGCCACCATTTTTTTTAGGAACGCGGTAGGACGCCTATTCTCGTACTCTTAGGTAGGAAGCTATTCCAGGCCCCATACAGGACCTTCCTGGTAGCACGGCAACTATTCCTTGCTATGAGTGCCGAGACTCGGCCAAGACGTGTGCGAGTAAACAGCAGAGAGAAGTAACCGCGTTCCCCTGGCGGCACTGGCCGGCCGCTCTGCCCAGCACCGCGCTCACCGGCCGCGGTCCTGCCCCGGTTCTGCCCCGGTTCTGCCCCACGGCTGCGGAGGGAGCTTCGCTGGGTCCCTGGAAAGCACGCAGAGCGCTGGAGGAATTGCCCCGCGCTTTCTTTCCGTCATTTCTGCCAAACAGAAATCCAGGCTAACGAGCTGGAAGCTCTAACGAACGGTGTGGAACTAATGACGCCGAAAGAAAGGCAGAGCGAAGGCACGCCGTGCGCCCCGTCCCACGGCTGAGCTCGGCGCCGCTCCGCGGCTGGGAGCACGGCGTTCTCCCCCTCTCCCTCCTCACCTTGCCGTACTTCCTCAGCCTCTTGCCGTAGGGCCGCTTGCCGGCGGGGGGCGGCGGCCGCAGGGGCTGGTAGGAGTCGGGCAGGAGGGCGAAGCGCACCTTCCTGCCGCCCGCTCCCTCCTCCCGCTCCCGCTCCTGCTCCGGCCGCGGGGCTCCGGCCGCCGCCTCCTCGTCCTCGCCGGGCAGGATGCACACCTGGTCGTCGCCGGGTCCCCGCCGCGAGAAGCGGCTCCGCGCCTTGGCCCCCAGCCGCGGCCCCACCGTCATGGTGCTGCCCCGCGCCGCCGCTCGCCGCTCCCTCCGCCGTCGCCGCGTCACAGGTGTGGCCGGAGGCGGCCGCTGTCCCGCACCGGGGCGGCCCTCAGCCGGGCATTTCCTCAGCGAGGAGCGGAGCCTTCAGCCCGCGGCTCCCCGCCTGCGCCCTTAGCTTGGCCGGTCCCCAAACGGTGGGAGACGGGCGCCTGAAGCTCAGGTCCGTCACTGTGCGAAACATCGCACAATCACAGAACATTCCCAGCTGGGACGCGCCCACGGGGAACATCGAGTCCAACCCCAGGCTTCAGGCAGAGCCGCCCCACATCCAAACCCTACGTCTGAGAGCACTGTCCAAACACCCCCTGGACTCTGGCAGCTCAGAGCTGTGCCCACTGCCCCGGGCAGCCTGTTCTGTGCCCACCGCCCTCTGGGGCAGAAGCGCTCCCTCACCCTCCCCGGCCCTACCCCGACACAGCCCCGTGCCGCTCCCTCACTTACAGGGTTAGGCTCCGAGGGCAGCGGTGGGTGCCGTGCCCAGCCCAATGAGCTGAGCCGTCTGAGGGCTGGGACATCCCCCTCCTCTCCTACAACTGCAGAACATGACATGGCACTTAGCTGTCTCTCAGACTCCGCAAGCTAAAGCCACGCCAAGGATTTGATATGAAGCATCCTACTGACTCCCATGATTAAGCTACGTGCTGTTCACCAATAAAGCCAGCAGTTCTGAAAAAGTCTGTTTTGTGGCCATTGCCATCTTATCTCTGCCAGTAACAAGTCTCTCTGAAAACTAAAGGAAGTGTTTGGGTGCAGCACGGCTTCAGCTTTGGCACTGAGATTGTGACTGCGCAGAGGCATTTTTCATGGATTTGCTGCAGGGAGCACAGCTTGGCTCGCAGCTCAGCCGTTCTCTTCCAACAGGGCACAAAAAAGGTCACATTCAACGGGATTTGGGAACCAGCACCATTTTACCCTGCTGGCAGTTTCAGGCAATAGCGTCATTTACAGACCGTCTGCTCCCCCTTCAGAGACATTAGAAGGGCTTTTTGGGGCACTGTAGTTCTTGGGAGAGTTGAACTAACAGTTATAACCTCTGTCCTCTTGAAACATTATCTGTGTACCATGGAGCAGGAACACAGCTCCTGTTACATGAAACAGTAACAATCTGGGGCAAAGCCAGCCCTGTGAAAACACAGCATGTAAAGCAGGAAGCCATCGTAAGCACTTAATCTACTGTCCCAGAGCATGACCTACATTTTTTCCACTGAACCTTTCAAGAAGGCAAAGAGTTTTGTTTCAGTACAGGGTTCAGATGTGATGCTGGATTCATTTCGTGGTTGTTTTCTGGCGGTGTATTTTTGAGGATAAATGAACCTTCACAGACACTTAAGGGCACGCTGAGCAGACACACAATCCATCCCTTCCCAAGATCTTTGAATAACTTCTGGAAAGCGCTTGGCCACCCATTTCCAAGAAGTACTGTGCCAGTGAGCCCACAGGACCACAGAACTGATGCAACACCAATGCTGAATCCACAGCACGTAGAACACGAAGGCTTCACACTACAACACCCACACGCAATGCACACCTGCCATCAGAGACCTCTAGACTGTGTTGCTACCTGCAGAAATTATTGCACTTGCATAAAGGGCCAACGACAACCGTTTTAGTATGGAACTGTTCAAGTAAGTTTTAATAGAGTGCACCAGTGAATCAAGATGACTTGCATCAGATTTTGTTTCAATGAACATCAGATAAAAAAAAGGGGCTACAGTTCTTTCTTTCCAGACACCACCCTTTTGCTAAGGCAACAATACACGTCCATTTCAGAACATAACTGTTACAGAGGAAAGCTACATCACAGTACAGCATGTCAAGTCCATCTTCGTCAAGAAGCCATTCTTGAATGGCACATTTACTACACTTACAGCCTTCTAACTTAGGGTTACAGAGTTTACCACAGCTTTTTTTTTTTTAATTTTTATTTTTTAAAGTGACAATTTCTTAATGAACTTTCTATTCTTCACAAGTGTGTGTGGATGGGGCCCATATGTTGATATTACAGTAATTACGACATTAAATAACATTGCACAACCAACCTCTATGGTTAATTCAGTACAAAATAACAAGTATTAAAATGTACCAGTACTAGTGGTTTTACATACTTTATAATCATTAATTATGAAGGGAAAAAAAAAAAAAAGAAATGTGGTTTGCTTTTTTTTCTTTTCTGTAGGCAAATGCCTAATTACAAAGCTGCACATTACAGGCATAATGATGTGGAATAAATACAAGAAATCTGGTAAAATATTAAACACAAACAGGTTACGTGGGAACAAACTGTACAACCACAAAGCATAAATCAACAATTTATCGTTATAAACAATGTATGTTCAGCTGTAAAATAGTACGTGGAACTGCATGTACTCTTTGGGGGCACATATTCCAAAAGCCAAGCTAATTCCTGAGGTGGTATTATTAACTTATACAATTGGTCAACACTTCAGATCATCTTGTGCTATTAAACAGTCCCAATATATTTCCATAAAATGGAATTTATAGTATTCGGAAGGCAGCAAACGAGTGATATTTTATACCATGATACTCAAATGAAATAATTACGGTTCTCCATTTTGGTGCTACATTTGTTAATGGGCCACGGGAGCAAGCACTATCATTTGCAGACAAAACATCACGCCTGGTTTCTGTTCCCCCATAGCTCTGAGCCAGTCCAAGGCAAAACAAAGGTTTTAAACTGTAAGTGCCAACACTGTAAACATGTTCGTATCTTTCAACTCAACACTGTCCAATAACAAGGATAAGAGCCAAAGGTAAGCAGGAACAGTCTTGTGTGGAACTAAAGCCAATTCATCCATCGACTCTGGGTTCAAATGATGAACAACCTTTAAATAAAAATGGTCATGCTACAGTTGTGAAAACTACATTTGTGCATTTGACTCAGGACACAAGTTTTTTGTTTCTTTTTTTTTTTTTTTTTTTAAAAACGCATGATAGAGGTAAGACTTATAAAAACCACCAAAAATGTAAATGATAGGGAAGAACTTCTCCAACTCAAAGCATCAAACATACATTTCTGTGCAGAAATCTAGACAACTATACAAGATCTGAATTTAAGCAGTCATCTTTTTATTATACAACCCTATGAACATAAAATGAACAGAATGCTCTATATACTTACCTGTACATGTGAACATAACTTCTTTAGCTAGTTATTTAATATAGGTCATACTGGATTTAACTTTACAATTCTGAATAACTATGTATAACCTTATTGCAATAAGGGCAATTTCTACATGGGAGTTTCACAGGCCAATCACGTTAGGCGTAACCAGTACATTCAAAGTGTAGATCGTGTACGAATCTTCCCTGATCCCAAAAAATTTAATTTCTCTTTACAGCTTAAGCTCGTTTGCTATCTTGGATGCAATGTTCTTAAATGCAATAGAAGTTCCAGATATTCTCTTGAAACGAACTCCATTGAGTGACAATCGCGGCAGTTTGCAGACCTCCATCTCCCACTGAACAAGGCTATCTTGTCGCGCATCACCGTGAACGCAGAAGAGCAAAAACCTCTCTTTTTGTTCATAATCACAGTTATTAGCGTCTAACACCTTCCGAATCTCTCTCATCATATCGTTCGGGTCCATAGAACTGGTGGTCTTCATACTCCACGTGAACCGCAAGGAACGTGGCTTCGAATCTTTGCTATCCTCCTTCTCTCTGTCTTTCGGCTCTCCAGAAACACTCCTGGAAGAAGCGGCATACAGAACAGTCAGAAGCGAAAGCAGCACAACCAAAAGAGAGAAGAGAAACACAGTTTTCGAACAAGGGTTTCTAAACTGTGGCTGACAGCTATTGTTAGTCATGTGCAAGCTAACCCGAAGCGTTAAATGGTTACTGTCTGAACACTTGTGCATTCATGTGCAGTATGGCACTGCACTCGGAGCTGCTACCAGAGCTGGTACAGCTGCCAGTGATGGCACACAAGCAAACCCAGTTTGGAAACCCCTGTTCTAAAACCTTCTGATGACAAGACATGTAATGGTAACTGCAGACACGTGTTAACTCCATACCGCTCCAAAGGAGGTGGGAGCTATGTAAAAGCATGACTGAAGTTCTGCTGATTTCATGATCTGCAGCATGCCATACACCAACAAAACTGAAGTTGAGGAACACAATCCTGAAGCATAAACCATACTGTAAAAGCAGCAGAGAAGTAACCCCATCCTGCAAATCACCAGTCTTCAGTTAACTTCCCCTCTACCTCTCTACCTTTTCTCTTCCCTCCTCCCCTCCCCCCTTTTTTCCCCTCCCATTTGCCTATTTTTGACCTCTCTCTGTGCAGAGACCTTATAATGATATGCACTGTTTCAACTGATGAAGCAGAATTTTGTGCTTCATTACAAGCACATCTTGTTTGTAGATTACTAAAACACTCAGCCAACACTGAGAAACAGCACTCATTATTTTAGAGACATTCCACAGCCAACAATTTCTGTTCTTGTCCCAGGTCTGTAAGATACCTGATGCCTCCTCCATCCATCACCAAAGGAAAGTGATGGGGGAAAGGTGCTTTTCTCACTTTAATAGTCTATAATTTATTGCTACTCAGAGAGAAGCCAAAACAGTTGAATTTAACATTCATTGTGATCTCCCAAGAACCACATCAATACTACAGGATAGAGCATGACAGGGCTAATATCTGAAACAACTTTTAGCCCAAAAAAGACAATGTAGGATGACAAAAAGTAGAGGAAGCTGGAGAATGAAAGCAAGAGCTGAAAGCAACTTCACAATTAATTTCATTTGAATGTTTAATGTCTTTTCCTTCACCATGTTGAATTCTAGCTGTGATAGACTGTAATGAAGGTAAAATATGCTGTGTACTAAATAGTGTATCCAGCTAAGAAACTGATTTTTCATTTTTTTTTAATTTTTAAAAAATTTTTATTTTTTATTTTTTTAAGATAAGGGTCTACTGATTTTTTTTGGGAACTAAAATCTTTCCGTACTTGACCAGCTTAGAATGCAAACTGCAAAGCCTGTTCTTCAGACAGCATAAAAAGAAAAAAAGTTATGCACTACGCTAAGCACACCGAAAATGCAGAATTAAATGCTGAAAGATGGCAAAAGAGCAGATATGCTGGAAAATGAGCATATGAAGGAATGCTTTACTACTAACACATCATCTAGAGATTTGTGCATGGCAGCTGCCATACAGAGTCAGCACTTAGCAGTCACCACTCTTTTTGTCTGAATGTCACTTACTTTTTTTTTCTCTGTGCAAAGTGGCATTCATTTAGCAGGCACAGTAGGGTGTTTACTTCTGGCAAACAGCAGCTTCAGTAATTAACACAGTATGCAAACTACTGTAAAAATTTAGTGTACAGATCTATACACACAGACACATGAAGTATGTTACATTTTCCACTGAAACCAAGAGTAAACACCATGAAATATTTAGAAGCCAAAGCATGATTTTAGATGTCTAAATGACTGGTTTACTCCTATCGGGACATAATTATTCAAAGGAATAGAGGTTTATGTAAGTACTTTGCAAAAAAGCAAGAACGATGAGTAAAGGACCTCACCATAGCCCCCCTCCCCCCCAAATCCACAACATTTTTTAAAACGCAGATTACTTAAGCACTATTCTGTTTTACATCCTGATTTAAAGTCTTTAAGAAATCACTTAAACCATGATGCAGGAGACCTAGGAGCGAAGTATTAATAGTGGCTCCTCACCTTGAGGTGTCAGTTCTGCCACTGGCTTCGCCTTCACTTGGATCCCTCAAAACAAAGTTAAGGTTGAGATTCAATGATAAAGGTGAAAAATAAAAGTTAAGAAAAACCTACATCTAGTACAATGTTAAATAGCTACTGAAGAGAAAAAAAAAAAAAAATCAGCGTAATAATGTCAAGTCTAGTATTGTTTAATAGTATTTCTTCACATCTGTGATTTTTATTTCCATTTATGATACCTTCCCTTCTTTCAGCTCTGAGATGTAATTATTATTATTATTTTTTAAACCTCATGTTAAAATGAACACTTTGTTCTCAGCCTAGTGCAGACAGAGCAGATTCCACATGTAATTCCAGCAAGCACGGAACAGCAGCAGTCAGTTGAGGTGGGCTGGGGAGCTCAGCTTGGCACCCCTACGGTCCAGGCCTTCCTGTGCTGACAGCACTTTGGTGCATGCCCACCCTTAGTGGACTTATGTCATTAAGGACAAGACACGCCTAAGAATCTGCATGGCCACGTGTTTGGAGCCCAGTTCAGGAAGGTTCCTTCAACATCCGCTCAACTTTAAGCATGTCAGCTGTTACACTGACTTCAGTAAGGTTATTGGTGAGCTGGAAGTTAACTGTTGTTTTTGTTTTTATTTTTCTCCACCTTGTTAAATCAGAATTGAACTTCATTAAGGAGATATTCTGCAGTCTGAAGCAGCTGGCAGATACATTCACAGACCATATGAGCCACCTAGTTTATACTGCTGCAGTGCAAACATTTAAAGGACACAATTTTAATTAACTAATTCAAGTAATATCTTCAAAACAAATACTTTAGGAACCACTATCAGAAAAGTATCATTTCTTATAAAACACTGATAGAAAATACTTTGATATCCTATACATAAAACATTCTCATTATGCATTTATTTTATATACTTACCAAAAAAGACATTTGCCAAAATTAAAAAATAATAATAAAATCTTTTATGATACCTTTTGATCAAAGTATGCTTTAAATCATTATTTCCTCAACAGAAGTTAAAGGCATGCAACTTACACGATGCCAACTAAAAGAACTGGAAGAAACAAACCCAGCTATGTAATCCCAGCCATTATAAGTTTCAAACAGCCCAAAACTTAAAAACAAAGTGCTCTGAAGTCTTCACTATAAGCAAATGTATTTTTCATTTTCATTTTTCACAGTGTAAAACAATAGTAAATTATATTAAAAGTGCTACAGAAAAATGTTTGTTCCAAAAGACAACGCAGTTTATAATATATTAATTCTAACCATGTGTTTTACAACAGTATTATTGCAGGTTAACATAACAAACATTAAACCTTCCATCTCTCTCTTTAAAATGAGGAAATTCCAGGTACTATTCCTTGTAAGAAAATCCTGAGCTACAACAAAAGCCAGCCTGTGCTCAGGAAATTGATCAGTTACTCAGCAGAATATACCCTTCTTTCTATTTGCAAATCTACACTGCAAACACAGTTGAGTAACTTTACTGTAACTCTGAAAAAGAGAGCAACCTCTCTCCTCCAACTATGCGAGTGCTGGAGATACCAATAATGGGGGAACTTCCATTTGCAGGTTTCTGAAACAGGAAAATAATTCATGTACTATTTTTTTTTCCTCGCCTTCCTGGTCATCACAGACACACACTGGCACACTTTCTGCAGGCCAGATGAAGTCATTTTTACAACACCTTTGTATTCCAGGCTTTCACTCTTCCTTTGTAATGTCACCTTCAATAATTCATTATCTTGTACTTCTGAATGTGCAACTACTAGCTTAAACTAGCTCTGAATTTATCCTTCTTCTACGTACAAACTGCAGAATTCAGTACATAACAGTATGACTCTGCAAAGAAAACAATAGTTTCCAAAATGTAATTCTACTGTGAAACTGATAGTAGTGCAATAAGAACATATTCATAAATAGGCTAGGTGGGTAAATCCCTGTTAAACAAAGGAAAACTGGAAAGTCTCCTTTAGAGAAAGCTATTGTGACCGCTGTGTAAACAGTCACACGAAAATAAGAGTATTTGAGAATCTTTCCCAGAACTTTTCCTCACAGCAATACTGTTGTTAGCATCACCGTAGGGGTGAATGCAGTTCCAGGAAACAACTGCATGTGTCCATTCTCTTCTTTCAGAATCCTGAACTTAGTTTTGAAGGCTTCTTATTACACCGTAACAGCATGACGAGAGGCTGCGTAACACTGAAATATTACTATTTCCAGACATCATGACTTCTCCCCTCTTCTAAACTTCTCATTTATTCATATTAGTAGAACTCCCTGAAATAATCTGTAGCACTGATTCCATCTTAAGCACAGTAATACAATTGTGAATACAGTCCTTGCAGCAAACTACACCCAGACTCGGTACTTAATCATGAAGTATTGTTAACAATAAATAATGACTCATTTAAGCCATCGTTTAAGCTCATTTGATTTCAACTTAGAAGTAGCACCTTTATCTTTCAGCTATAAAGCATGAACAAGAAAATTGAGCAGCATTCTCTTGCTCTTTCACAATAAAGGAACAGGAGAATAGCAGGTCAAACAGGAACGTTACTGTATACGCAGAAGTAAAACAAGGCAGGTTCTGAACAGAACACATAAAACAGCATTCTAACTGCATTTACATACATTGCAGGCTGTTGAACTGGAAACTCTCAATGACTTTGCAATTATAGCCCTAGTTATAGGCTGGGCACTTTTCTTAGAAATTGAGGTACTAACCTGCGAACAAACTTGGAAGTTATCTTGCTTATTATACCAGTTGATGTCCCTCTTCTAGCATGTGCAAAAGCACCGGTTTCATGTGATGGTGAGGCAGGTGGTCCATTGTAAGTGGCATTACGCCGCTCCCTTAGCTGCTCACCATGGAAAGTGCTTCGACTTGAACTCCCCCGAGGAAAGCGGGTTCGGTCTGGAGTGGTAGTGCTAATACTATGAGCAGACGGGGAAGCAGCAGGCACTCTTTGAGTTGCACTGCTGGGAAAACAGAAGCATAAATAAAGAGAAAGACTGTGCTAAAAACCCTCCTACATGACAACCATTTCTCAACGAGAGGAAAAATCTCCACTAAATTTTTCTTTTTTTTTTTTTTTAAATAAAAAACTTGTATCTGCTACTGATTGAGTTTCAATGATTCATGCTTGGAAACAAATCAAGAGAGATTTTCAGTGTAGAACCAACTATCTCAGGTATTAAGAGCAGTTAAAAAAAAAAAAACATACACAGATAATAGGACAAAGGAGAGAGAGAAAAGCCTTAGTGAGATATGAAAATTTTCCCCAGCCCTCTTCCTGAAAAAAAAAAAGCATTAATCAAAACCTTCAACATGTAAGTATTCCAAGATTAAATATTTCTGGAATAGCCAGATGTCACAAATATATAAAGTTATTTAGGCAATTAATAGTGGGGACAGCTACCTTATGGTGCCTTCAGACAGAAAGAAGCTTAGTAATCTCCAAAACATTTCAGTATTTCACGTGAAATTACAGCAGCCTGTGTTGTATGGCCCTGTCTAAATTAGTTAGATTTAGATCTAGCAGTTTTCCAGAAGCTTCCAGAGGGAGGCAGTCAAGGAACTTCTTTAACTTCATGCAAAGGCATCATGAACGATATCAGTTTTTAAGTCACCTCTAAACACACATATTACTTGAGTGAGCTACTGCTTCAGAACAGAATGTAACATGACAGTTTAAAATTGAGTACAAACATATCAAAGTACACAACGAACTGAAGAACATCATTTCTAAAGCATTAAAGAAATAATAAGCAATCTATTACCTTGGTCGGTAACCTTCAGTGCCATCTCTGATGGTTGGCAGTGTGACTTTTATAGGGTGACCAGAGGCAGACATAGACTTCTGATGTCGAGGCCGTGTTGACACAGCAGAAGCTACTGCAGAGCCTGCAGAAGATGTGCTACTTGCAGACATTTCTGTTAGGCTTTTGTCATGGCAGCAAGGCAGGAGGAACAGAGAAATGAAAAGGAAAAAGAACAGTTAGTGTAAAACTCTGCAATACGGAATACAGTAAGTCATATATTTTCTTTTAGAATGTAGCAAGCACTGTTTAAATAATCAGAAGACAGAGTGATGAGGCTGCCTCCTGCTGCTGAAGTAAAAGATATGTAATTGAGGGTAAGTCATTAATAGTGAATACTCTTCAGTTAGAACTCAAACACCTAAAACTAAGAACTTTTTTTTTTTTTTTTTTTTGAATTGCTGCCACATTGTTACTTAGTCCTTTAAAAACACACTCACTCCAAGCTGTACTTCTCCTTCAGACTTCTGCGTAGCACATTAAGGGCAAGTCAGCTTCAAGAGAAAGCCCCAACTTACAGAAGAGGTCAATTCAGAGTGCTCAGTCAGCAGCTTGAAAGCAATTTTGAATTATTCCCACTCTTCACTACTTAACTGCCAAAAAGTTGTCAAATTTGAACTTTCTGCAATTGTTTAAAACATCCTTGGAGAGGAAAAATTCCCTTTGATTCTTCCACCATTAAACAGAGGTGTTACAGCTATGTAGAACAATTAAAGACAACAAAACATAGCTGGCCTCACCTCCATAGTTCTCTGGCTTTAACTTCTATTGTGGTAACACCTCAAAAAGCTACGCACATGAGGAACTGCTTGCATCTTATTGTGCAGCTACTACATTTATCAAGCAACACAAGATTGTACTTGTTTCTGAAAAACATCTTTGATACCCTAAAGAATGCCAACACGCCATAAAACACTTCTGACAATGACAGCTCTGCAATTTGAAAGATCTTCTGGTGATCGGTACCTGGAGCTGCCACGCTGGGTGTGTTTCCCAGTACATGAAATCCCTACACACCAAACTCATGACAACCAAAACCCCCCAAATCTACCTCTAAGTAAGTACTGAAAGTGAAACAAAACATAGGAAGCTATAAAAGTTCACTTGGGAGATGCAGACAGGATTTAAACACCTGCTCATGACCCCAGTAAGAAGGCAACGTTGCCCTATGGCTGCAGAGTCCCTCAGGCATGGGAAGGCTCCTCCCACGCCTCACAGAGCAGCACCACAGCAGCTTTCTATGGAGAACAGAACAGGCTGCTCTGCTTTAAGCAAAGTGTTTGCCTTCTGCATCAGCTCTCTCCCAAGCCAATGCTAGACTGATACAGTTCCTTCCACCCGTACTTTTTATTTCTGCTCCAACTCAGTAGCAAAGAAGGCATGGTTGTAGATGTAATATTATGCCATGAATTTTTAAAAACAATGTCAGATAACTTAGACCAAAATACAGCTTTGCCTCCGAAAGTATAAGCAAAACTACATTAATTATGTATTAGCAACAACAGCCCCAAGATGAAATAATTTTCTGTAGCAAAGTAAAGATTTCACAATCTGACTAATGCGATGATGGCATGAGATGTTCAGCTACACCAAACACAAACTGAACTGCAACATTCTTCTTCGTTTTTCATGAAGAACTGAGCATAGTTAGTGCATCATGAAAAGAAGAGGAATGAAGATGTGGCCATTTTTCAATCCTACAGAAATAATTAAAGATGAACTATAAAACGAAGAACTTCAAAATAGTTACTTCTCATTAAAGTGGTGTTGGAATTACATCTATTAAAGTGAAAATTAATATTGGTGAGATTAGGACATATTTGAATACAGATTTTAACTCTACATCTAAACAAGGTATGTTTTTTTTTTTAAAGATGGTTTAAACTGTTGTTTAAACATATGTTAAGATGTACACAAAAATTTAGAAAAGGCCTTTTGGAAAATCCCATCCAATAATTAGAAATCAATTAATTAGCTTTAGGCTTTTTAAGCAATTCCTTCTTTAAGCAATTTAAATAACAGCAAGTGGTGTTAACTTCCTCATGTTTCACTACTTGTCAGCTTACTATTTGTAATCAGCATTCTGCATACAGATATAAATTGGTTATAAACACTATCAGAATATTGCTTGGACAAAACAGAGCCATCAAAAAAGCACTAATGAGTCTGAATCTTTAAATATTTGAGTAATTATGAAGGGGTTTGAAAGATGATCCAGAAGAAGAGAGAAAGGCAGATCTACAACTTTGTATTTCATCACAAACATTGAAGCTGCATTGGATGAGAAGATAAAAACACACAGTAAAACTTCTCACACCATGCTTCATAACAGCATTGATTGTTGCATAACCCACTTCTATGCCTTCAGTCTGTGTACCCAAACTAACACACAAGAGGGAATACCTGTTGTCCTTCCCATTCTGTATTGCAGAATAGCGATCTGAAGAACGTTCACAAACGTAAGTGTTCCTTCTTGTCATTCCACTTCCAGAAAATACATTGTTCTAGAAGAAAAATTAAAGTATTTCATTTAATTTCAGTCTTATCTACTACTATGTTTATGTTGTACAAAAAGCAAGCCTGGGAAATCAAAATAGAATTTTCACTATTCCAAATGCCTTTGACGTACTTAATATACTAACACAAATCAGTTACATCACTAGCTACTTTTATCTCCCCCCAACTTCATTCACCGCCTCTTTATTGTACCACTCAAAGTTCATTAGGAGAAAGCATAGAGAAGATTAATTTTGCTGATACTTGCTTTACTAAATATTACTACCCAATTTCTATATAATGCATTGCTGAATTATTTGACTCTGGGATCAAGAGCTGAAACAGCAAACTGGAACCTTCCCAAGAACACATACATCTGTCTGGCTTAAAGGCTTCCCTATGCAGATTAAGTTGCTAACTAGGGCTCTGGCTTTCAAGCTTGCTGCCTCCCTTATCAAAAGGGTTTTAAAGAAAAAAATGAAAATATTGTTGATCTTTGTCAGTCAAACCTGAGATTATGGATGCAGAATAGAGAATAATTTGACCATGAGAATTTACAGTAATATGTGGCAGAAGTATCTTGTAGCAACGATGGGACCTTATCTCTTACTGTTACTAATTTTATTTCAAACACATTTCATTAAATACCTACAAACATTCTTATCCTCCTACCAAGCACAAAAGTGTATAATGAAAGTTTGCTTGATTTCATATACACTAAGCTCAGCTCTGCAAGATCTACTGTATTTATGCTTTCCTCATTTACAGCTTTTCTGCTTTAGTATCTCCCTGCAGAAACTACTGAATAAACTATTTCTAACCAATTTTGTAAGGAAGATTAACAACAACAGTAAATATTTTTGAAATTAAACTCTTAGAAGTTAGACTAATATGACTGGAGATGGTAAATATGCCAGTGTAAGAAGGACATAGGATTTGGAGATTTCAGGTGGTGCTGTGTGGAGCCAATGGTTGGACTCAGTGATCCTTATGGGTCCCTTCCAACTTGGGATATTCTGAGATATCAACAAGTACACACAAGGGAACAAACGGGTTATTCCCCCTCACCTCATCCCATTTCTCAAGTCAAAAATACAGCAGCTTCAGAAAGACAAACAGAGAAACAGATGAAGAGACAGTTCATGAGGGATATTACAAAATAACATTCAGATGAATTCTCTGATTCATGAAGACCTTTGACTTCTTTGTAGATAACAGAAGCATTAGAAACCAGGGAAAGCATTAAAAAACAAGGACAGAGCACTCTGTATTGGCTCTGATTTCACATTCTTTCCTTAAGTGTCCAATATTTGCCTTGACAAACCTTCAGTTTGCCCAAGTGCAGATATTCTCATGCTTACTACTACATCAGTGTTAGAAAATGAAGTTAGGGAGGGAAGGGAGAGGTTTATTTTAAAAGACATTCATTGCAGCCTATTTCTGTTTGCCAGAAGAACGTGTCAGAAAAGGGATCAGTAGTTTGTTTAGTAACTATTACACCTATAATAATGTTAAGAAAAAAAATAAATTTACAAACCAAAAGCGCACACACTCACACTGGGAACTGCAGTTGATTTCTTTCTTTCTGGACCCACAAGTGGACTTGCAGCCATCTCTCCTTTGGATCCCACTGTTGTGCTGCTAAGTTTGCGTGACACATCTTTGTCCCAGTCTTCTTTCTGTTCACTTTCCACACTGTTTGCCTGAGCCCTTTTTGTGTATGATACAGTAGGAGGAATTGATGGACCAACTGTCAAATAAAAACATTATTAGCAATACCTAAAATTAATCTCTTGGTCAAAACACGGCTGGGGTTTTTTTCTGCTTGTTTGTTTTTGTTTTTTTCCTGACTCATGGGGATTACATTTGGACTTTCTGAAGAACTACAACTGCAAACTCAGCACCCATATCAAAGTATAAAATTGAGCTTTGACAATCTAATACATGCTCTCTTTATTAACAATGTGCAATTGAGAATTGCACATTGAGATTCACGTATAGATAGGAAGTAGGAATAGTATAATTCTCATTCGAACCAGTGCACTTTCTGCAATATTATTTAAAAAGCTAGAGGAAACATCAAATTTTGACTTTTTGTGCTTTTTGATGCATACATTTTCCTGAATCTAGTTTGAAAAGTATTCTTCCCTCAAAAATGCTATGGCTATTCTTTAAAAGCACATTTATACATGGAAAATAATAATCACTGTGGGGGGAAGGATTGTTAAAGAGCTTTGTGGCAAATCCTTAATCAACAGGATTTCACGCCACCTTGAAGTAATGATGCTTCACAATATTGATGACTTTTTTTTTTTTTTAAATGCCACACTAACACAGGGGGAGAATGGTGTTGCAAAAAAAAAGTTAGAAGAACGTAAATTAGACAGAGAGAAGGGCAAAACAATTTTTAAATGATTCTAGTAATTTGATAGTTTTTTATGATGAAGAAAGCTTTCATTCAATACTTTACATATACATTCATTTTTGATGCAACTAGTTGCACCTGAAAATGTTTCCTGAACACTTGGCAAAATTGTTAGCTATGAGAAAAACTTCCAATTTGCTCCTAACTCCAAATGCACTGCTAAATGTAATGGTTTGCATGTTTAAGTTTATTCAGATCAATATTTTGCCTCTACTTCCTAAACAGGAAACATCCTCAAGCTCTTATTTAGTGAGTCAACCAAGTAGCAAGACAAAAATTAAATGTGTAACTCACGTTGACCCAGATTTACCATAGAAATGTTCATACAGATAGAAGCACCACAGCAGAGCATGACGAGATACACAACAAATGCACAGAGTGGTGGACCGGCCAGGTTCACAAAACACTGCACATTCAGACTTAAATTGTGTATGTTACTTTACTTGTTGGAATGTCATCCCCACCATGATCACTGAACCGCCGTTGTTTCTGATTGGTAGATATACTCCTTTGGACCTTCAAGTGAGCAGGAGACTGCACAGAGCTGTTGTTGAGGTCACTGCTAGGACGAGATCTTTGACCCAAGTTGCTGCTGGATAGGGAGTCACCTCCTTCAAACTATAAGAAAAACAGTTTTGCAAAGCATAAACAGAATTCAACATTTCTGGTTCTTTTATGGCATAAGAAAGTGAAGAGTTCCAAAGAAAGGCACTATCCTTTATATTTAAAATTACGTTCACAGTTCAGTTTTCAAGAAGGTTTTTCATCACTTAATTTTGTATGTTTTAGAAACTTGTATTTAAAGCTAAAGAGTTACAGAATGCTGAAAATGAAATTAGAATAATCTTAACAGGAACCAAAGCTGTTTTAAACATAAACCAAAGAATTTCTCCTCTTGCTTTTTTTTTTTTAATCCTAAAGAAAACTTATAATGTTAAATCAGAAGGGCAAGTATTACTGATTCAAGGACTCTATAGGATTTGAAGTGTCTTTATAAGGTATGGAACTCTGCTACTAGTTTCATGGTACCTAATCAGCATAAGTTGTTAAGAGCAGTGAAAGAAGAAATCTCTTTTAAGCAGCTTGAGTCAAAATTGTTTTAGGTAGATTCTCTCCATGTTCTGCCATCGCAAGGAAATTCTGAGTCAGAAACTTTGTGAGAAAGCATACTCATACAGAGCTACACTATCTTAGAAATGAAGGAAGGCCAAAGAAGCACCAGGAAAAAAGAAGTCCTAAAAAGAAAGCCTCTGTTCATAGCTCTTTTTCTAGAAAATTCCTGCATCCCAGGAGATGTACAGATCCAATGAATTCTAAAACAGCCAAAATACATCCTATCACAGACTTACTAATGGCTGTGATGAAACGATTATAGAATAAAATATATAGTAACAGCATGTAAGTCAGAAAGGATGAATATGTTTCTGAGAAATAAAGGATGTCACAGCTTAGAAAAACAATTAATTTAGTCAAATTCTTATATAGTTCAGATTTAAACTGCAAAGATATATCACATGACAGAAGTAAGACTTGGCATCTAAAGTCATTCCACTTCAGATTAACAGCTAGCTTTCTTAGTTCAATGTATATATATGAATAAACATCAAGACACTGTACTTAGTTCCCACATGAAGAAATAGACTAACAAGATACCCAAGAATATATGAAAAGAATGTGAAACACATTCCTGAAGTTACCAATTCCAAATTACTATTTTGATTAATTGAATTTTTCATAAAACACTGACGACCAGAACATTCAAATCAACCAGACAAAAGGCCAATATAAAAGATGTAAATTAGGTATCACTTACTTCAGGTGGTTTTCTACCTAGAAGCAAATAAGTAGCCATGACTTCATCGTACTTTTGGTTTACTAAAGACTCGTGGATTTCTTCTCTTGAAAAACCCATTGTTACCATAATGTCTAGAAATAAAGAGAATAGAAATCAGAAAGATTGCATCTCCTTGCTTTCACTGTTTTTTTTTCTTCATCTTGAAAACTCGCAACACTGGGTATAATTCAACAAATTCAACATTGGCAAATAGAAGCTATGACTGCTACAGTGCCAACACAGTGCATTCTATCACCACAGCTGATAAAGAAAACACTACTAGCATAACAAAGTCCCTTTCCTTTTGAATTCTGCAATCTGATTTGTTCTTTCCTGTGTGTGTAGATTCATGTCAGCTCTGTCACAGCAGCAGTTATGAGGAAAGCACTGTAATGAAATTTCTCATTTAAATAAGAAAACATTTTTATTTGTATGATAAGTATCTAAAATGCTGTTAAAGAGTTTCGTTTGACTTCATTTGAATTGTATAGAATTGCCTATGAATGTAATACACAGCACCTTTCTAGAAGCCTTACCTATTCTCTTGGTGTCATTAAAGTCTGGTTCAGGCTCGGTATATGGCTTCAATTCTTCCTCTTCATGGCCAACATTCATCCACCGATCCTTCATAATTTGCTAGGAAAAGAAATGAATATTTACAGTACTTCATTAAATCTGCGCCAGCTGATTTGAGTAATAAAACAACTTGAAATCCAAGATAACCGGAATGTTGCCCTCTCTCTCCCCTACCTTCCTCCAACTCATATCTTCTTACCATATCTCTTGTTATCTTTCACATTCTTTTTTTTTTCCTCATTAATTAATTCCCCATGCTGTTTATTTACCCTCTACAAAACAAGCAACCAGCTGAAGCATCAGAAAAACTACTGGGATGCACTTCCAACAAACCCAAGTCTTTCATTTTGTACTTTTCACTTCCATCAGTCTCTTCATCTTTTTGGGCTGAAGGATTGACACACACGCCCTAATCTTAGTTACAGATTCTGGATTCTACTACAAAATTGATTGTACCACAATAAATAACTCCTTCAAATAATAACAAAGCAAGAAACTAAAGAATAATACAGAAGCATGTCTGTACTTCCCAGAATAATTCAAGACCCTGATCCAAACTGTCATTTTCTTCCTATGTATCTTCCCACTGCAATGGAACTAAAGATGCGACAGTTCAGCTGAAGGGGAAAATGCCTCTTAACTCTGTCCATGCCACACAAGCATTAACTTTAAAAACTTCTCCCGCATTCTTTGAAAATAATTTCCTTCTGCTGTAGCTTGGACCCCTTGTATGCCTGCAGCATTGATCAGCTGGAACGCCTAACCATCACTGCAATTTCTCCTTAGGGACATATTCATCATCTTTTTATAAAACAGCTAAAACCAATTTTCCTCCTACAGCTTGAGGCACACATACCTCTTCTGGGGACAATACTAATATTGCTTACTAGATTGGCAGAATTGTGAAACAAGTGCCAATAAGTCTAGTTTCCCACAGACGCCAAATATGCCTTGCAAACATCAAATTAAGTTATCTCCAGCATAGAGCAAAAGACTCAATTTTCCATTGATATAACCAAATTCTTTCTATGCAGTGCTGCTGCCAAATTAAAGACACAAATAGCTGTATCCCTACAAGTGCAATACAAAACTTCATACTGGGACCTATTAACAATTTGCTGACAGTAAGACTTAAAGATTTATTCAAAGTTCTGCCACATAATTGATTTTTTGGCTTTTGTGAGTAGCTGGGATGAGGGGGAAGAACTGTCAACACATCGCTGCACTGCATTTCTGGCACACAAATCATGAGCTTACTTAGTGACAGATCCTGGTTATTTATTTGTAACCTTGTAATAACATGATTGACTCTCAAAGGAGTATTGTACAGCATCTGCATTTTTAAAATTATCATTATAATACATTGCTAATTAAATATTTTACTAAACAGAGGATCAGACGGTCTCAGTTTTTGCATGACTCTTAAAACAGGTTCTTATAAGCATTCTGAAATGACACAAATAATCTTATTCAAGGATCAATATTACATCTGTGAAAGTCAGCTGATTACAGAACAGTAGCCTTGGTCAGGGTATTTAAAGATCTGATTATCATCAACCTGAACTGTATTTCAACCAAATAAATATTATTGAAGTTTCCATCGAATTTCAAGGCTATGTAATACAAATCTTGCCTGACTCAAGGTCTGTTTTTTCTCAAAATGATGTGCTTTATTACTGCTTGTAAACACAGATCTGCTTCACAGGAATTTCAGTTTTGCTTTGCAAAGAGCCTAAGGATGGTGGTGGAGTGGTGGATTTCTTGAAAACCTGACAGAGTTCCACATATCTTCCAATACTGCATTCTTCCTCCATCTCTTCCTGGAAGGTTTACAGTTTTACAAAAATGTTCTCTTGCTTTTCAAGTGTTTTCTCTCTGCTGCAACCGAGAAGTCATCTACACACACCACCTGATTAGAAGTTTACTTGATTCTTACCAGAGTAAGAGTGGTAAAGCTAACATATGCAGTGCTGATACTGTGTCAGCCTCAGCTCTGCTGCTAAGTCACCAGTAAGCAATAAAGAACCTCCCCAATACCCAACCCTATTGGATGGTCTGGGAAAAGCATGCATGGGAACCATGAGCACATGTATGGCTAGGGTTGATCAAGTAGTTGTATAAGACAGCACAAGGAAAAACCCTCTCCCCCAGGACATTATCCTCCTGCCTTTCAAAAGCTTCTACCAAATATCTACTTCTAATTCTAGTTACGTATTTTTAGAAGTGCTCACACAAATGTAACAGTTATTTATTTCCAGACCAACGACTAAATACATACTCCAAATGTAGTTTTAGAAACACCCATTTAAATAAAGTTCGTACTGCCTCTCCCCCTTTGTTAGTGTACTGACTACTGCCCATATCATCACTGTTTTAGTACTGACTCAAAACACCCCTGCCCCATGTAATATTTACTTCCATACAACCTGACTACTATGCAGTTTCCTGTGAGGCTGCTACGCAACACTCCTCTCCAAGGACAAAAAGGAATTTTAAAAGAACTGGAAAATGCCACAATATTTGAATGAAAGTGAAAGTACATCTGAAGAGGAACTGCAACTGCTGAAAATCCAGAAAAAGCATGATAAAATGAAAATGTATTTCCTAAAACTGAAACATGACATTGTGAAGAGAGAGGAGCAATCTTCCAATGCCTTGTGGTGATAAGCTCTTATCACTATGTCCCTCCAGATGAGAATGGATACAACACAATTAATGAATATCCAAATGGAAGTCATCACTCACTATTCTCTTCTGTGCAAATTATATTCAAGCTAAAACTACTCATATTAAGTCACAAAACAGTATCGGCTTGAAAGAAGCTGCACGCAGACACAGCTCAGCAAATGCATGCTTCCTTGCACAGGTAGCATCCATACCAGGGGGTCACACCAACACAAATATAAAGCTGCTTAAATGGGATTTCATCTCTGGAATTCTATCCACTGCTGCACAACTATGCACAGAAAGATAAAGCAAAGGTCACTGGCGATTAACTCATGCAAATACTATTTTCAAAGCACATATTTATCTTCTGTTCTACTTTCACCTCTACAGTCAGCAGGTGTTACTTTCAAAAAATACTTATGATATTGCTTGCTGCTGTTATTCCATTTTTTTTCCCTGAAGAACTCCTCAAAGATGAAGATATTTATGATCTTGTCCAGCTTTCCCCATGTTTTGAATCTATTATCTGATCCAAATAAGTGGGAGCACTTTGCACTTTAAAATGTTTTTAGATGACAGTCTTCAGTTAGTTGCAATTCACTAACATCTTCTACTCAAGCTGCTTTGTTTCTGGGATGCTTCCTAGGGTTTTGTTTTGGGGAGCGGGGTGGGTTGTTTGTTTGTTTTCAGTAAGACTTTTGGTCCCCCTAAAACAGGAGATACCTATCATGAAAATTAAAAGAAGGCTCAAGCAATTACTATATTTTGCTCATTCTTAATCTAAATTAATCATAGAATCATAAAATAGCTTGGGTTGGAAGAGACGTCAAGGATCATCAACCTTCAACCGCCCTGCCACAGGCAGGGCTGCCAACCTCCGTATCTCATACTAGACCACAGGCTGTCCAAGGCCCCATTCAATCTGGACTTGAACACCTCCAGGGATGGGGCATCCACAACCTCTCTGGGCAGTCTATGCCAGCACCATACCACTCTCCTGGTAAAGAACTTCCCCAATATCTAACCTAAATCTTCCCTCCTTCAACTTAAAACCATTTCTCCTTGTTCTGCCATTATCTACCATTGTAAAGAGCTGACTCCCCTCCTGCCTGTAGGCTCCCTTTAGGTACCAGAAAGCTGCAATGAGGTAACCCCACAGCCTTCTCTTCTCCAGGCTAAGCAAGCCCAGCTCCCTCAGCTGGGATAATACTTATCATTTATTTATTATTATTTTTTTTTTAAAAGGAAAAAGGTATAATTACTTACTTCCAAGCTGCCTCGTTTTATTGGATTCAGTACTAGTAGCTTCTTAAGTAGATTTTCACAGTCTGTGGACATATAGAACGGAATACGATACTTCCCCCTCAGTACTCGCTCCCTCAATTCCTTTAAAATAAATTTTTAAAAGATGAACCTACAAATGACACAGAAAACTCAAAGAAGAAAAGCCTAGAGTTCATATTATAAGCCTACCTTTAGATTCTGACCATCAAATGGCAATGATCCGCTTACTAGTGTGTACAATATCACTCCAAGACTCCACACATCCACTTCAGGACCATCATATTTCTTTCCTTGGAAAAGTTCAGGAGCAGCATAAGGTGGGCTTCCACAAAATGTGTCCAGTTTATTACCAACTGTAAATTCATTACTAAACCCAAAGTCTGCAATTTTAATGTTCATATCTGAATCAAGTAGAAGGTTTTCTGCCTAAGAGAAAAATAAAAGAAGGACAAGCTATGTATAAGACCAATATATCACAGCATATCATTTAATATCATTTAAAAATTTTATCTTCTGCATCTTTCTTGCATTAAGAAAGGAACAAATCCCCTTTAATGTATTATTAAGAATGAAAATTGACTATATTTAGCTAGGAAAATAGAACTGTTAAGTGTCAGATTGAAGCACCTGGACTTCTCAAAACAGCAGTTTCAGTTTTTGACAGTTTTCTGACACCATGGAGCATATACTGAATCCAAACATCATCTTCCATTTGGTGGGGTAGATGTTAAAAGGCACTCAAGACTTGAAAAGCTACGTGCCCTACCTTCGCAACTTGCACTAAAAAATTCTCCTCACCTTATTGCTAGTGTTTTGCTTTAGCAGTAACAACATTAACACTCAATTATTACACTCTGTATGAAAAATGGATGTATTATACATCTCAGTGTTAGTGGGCATTAAACTACAACTGGGTGAATAAAATGCATTACAAATATGCAGATGCAAGTATTCAGGAACCCAAAGAATCAGTGACAGTATTTTATACCTTAACATCATAGGTAGGGCAGAAGATAAAAAGAATATGGTTAGAGAAATTTTTATATGCTACTGGAAAAGAATAAAGTGCATTTCCTAAAACAAGGGTGCTATGCAGTGTGTGCAGGAAAACCACAGTGTTTACTCATCTGTGTCCAGGCTCCTGATGGACACATCACCAGCACTACTTCCCAGAAACTAAGAAGTGCAGGAATCTCTTTTTTAACAGGTCAGGCATTAGCCAAAGTGCAGCATTCTCTTAATTGCCCTAAGTCAGCTTTATAGCTAATGCTGAATTCTCTCATCAGATGCTGTGCTCAGTTGAGTTCTCTTTGAAACAAATTAATAACTGTTCCTTCCTTCCACTTGGAGAGGGAAACAAACAATCAGAAAAACCAGCACCACACATCTCTTGGCTTAGGATCACTGAACTTGTTTACTTTGCTAACAGCAGTAAATACGGGTTCTCTCTCCCCTCCTTGTTGGGTTTATTTTTAATAATTTCATCTCTCATTCAGTGACTAGGAAAGAAGTCTACCAATATATCAAACCAATAGCTGGGAGACAGAATTTAGCCTTTGTCAGGAATAAAATATAACCCATTTTCACTAACTTACTTTCCTGGAAAATATTTTATTTTCCCAATTCATGACCTGTAATCTCAGCTGGTTCCAGCTGATGTGCCTGCAGACACACTCTGAAATATTTTCCAGATTTGACAGCCTTCTACATTACTGCACAAAGACTTCATTTTCCTTGTGGTGAAAACATTACTGTCAGTGCAGCTGCTCAGCGATTACAATAGTCCTCCTAGTTCAACAGTATGCAGCTACCCTAAAACCCTGCACTTTTAGCTTTCTTATTCAGACAAAACCACTAAAAACAACAGCCCACCTATTCCCTTTCTCCTCCTCTCCCCTCCCCTCCACGCACACACACACTTTTAATATGGCAAATAACAAGACTATACTCCTTTTGGCCAGATATTCAGACCAAACCAGTCACTGGAAGGGTATGATAAGACTTGTGCATCATACTGCGAGCACAAAGCTGGATTCAGTTATAACCCTTTCTACTCAAGCTTTTTAGTTTCACAGAAGCAAATCAATGGGAGACAGTCTAAGTAGCAATGGGCCTTACACACTCTCTTTTTCCAGAATAGACACCTTACATGCCTCTTCCTACTTGAGTCTGAAATAACTTACACATCATAGTTTATCTTTATTCCTCTAAAAAAAAAAAAAAAAAAGCTCATCAAATCTCCATTGTGATACTAGACCTCTAGACCTCTGTTTTAAAGGTGCTAATGAAGTAAATTGGTCAGCTATGCCCGTAACTTGGAGAAAACAACAGAAGCAGATGTGAACACAGACAACTTTGCAAATTGTCTCTTCCTCCTTTTTCTCACTTAAAACTCTTTGCATGGAGCTGGAGAGATGACAGACAATGTTTGGAAAGGAGAGGGGAAGTGAGAACACTTCCTCGTAACCATACATTTAGTCCTTTTCACTCTAGGTTATGCATTTTCCGTTGGCTAGGCTGACTGGTTCTCAATCACACTTAATGCTGAACATTTCAAATGAGCCTAGCATATATAGGAGAAAATGTAGAGAGAAAAGTAAAGTAACACATGATTTTGGAGCCTGTCTATCTTGAAACAAGGAGAAAGAACAGCAGCAGAGCACTTATGACAGGTGTTAAAAGGGATACCATGCAAATGTTACAGAGCAGTTTTCCATAGTCCTCTGAGTTACACAAAGAATCAGAAAGTCATTAAGGTTGGAAAAGATCCCTAAGTTCATCATGTCCAGCTGTTAACCCATGTTCATTAACCACATCCTTCAGTACCACATCCACATGTTTCTTGAACACCTCCAGGGATGTTGACTCTACCACCTCATTGGGCAGTCTGTGCTAATGCCTTGCCACTCTAAGAATTTCTTCCTAATATCCAATCTGAACCTCCCCTTGGCACAACTTAAGGCCACTACCTCTTGTTCTACTGCTGTTACCCAAAAGAAGCCAACCCCTACCTTGCCACTATCTCCTTTTAGACAGCTGTATAGAGCAATAATGTGTCTCCTCAGCCACCTTTTCTCCAGAATGAAGAATCCCAGTTCCACCAGCCATCCCCCATAAGACTTGTGCTTCAGATCCTTTATCAAATTCACTGCCCTTTTCTGGGCGCACGTCAGGGCCAAAGCAGCATATGCATGCTAAGCAGCTAAGAAGAGAATTAGGGGTAGAGGCTGCAAAGGGCTCTAGGAGAAACAGCAAGAAGCAGGATGCTAAATAAATACAGCAAGAGTCAATTATGTAGCTGTGCAGATCAAGCAAGTGCCAGGTAAGGAGATAGCCAGCTCTTCTCTCCCACTCTCAGCCTCATGTACTTAAAGGGGACCAATGAAGGGAGTTCTTCAAGTTGAGCCAGCAGGCACCGTAGATCCAGCCTTCTAGAAAGCACAAAACAGTGGCAGGAGCAAGCTACTCCAGGAAGCTTGACAAAACATTAGAAGTGCCAAACCACCACATAAGAAGGAAAAGAATTTATTTTATTTATTTTTAAATCAAGGGATCAGTTTTTTCCTTCCATTCTGACTTAAGAGCACTGGCCATGCAGTAGCACCTCCAGCATCCAATGACAACAATCCTGGGAAAGAAGGACTCAGCAGTAAAGGATGGATTGTGTGGTACCATACATATGCCAGGAGCTGGCATATCAATAATTATTAGGGAACAGGTTTGTAAGAAAGAGGTTGAAGGCATTCTGCTGGAATTATTCAAATTAATCTTTTCACAGGTATTTAGATACACTAGCAGAAAAGAACCTACACCAGTGTTTTCTTTGTAAACACAGACATGAAAACAAGAGTACAAGCCAGCTTTTAAAAGGACGAAGATCCTGTGTCCAAGTCCTATGATATCTAAACTTGGCATGAAGACAACTTCAGACTAAAGGCTTAGGTTCTGCATGCAATTGCAGAATTCTTTAACAGGGCCTGGTATTTGTGTACAGGAAAAAAAGCACCAGAAAGCATTAAAAAAAAAAAAGAGTATTTATTTAAAAGGAAATTGGAGTAATTTATGTTTATCTTCAATGTATTTTTTGGCCTGAATTCAAGTATAAACCAGAAATTCAGATGGATTAAAAATCTTACATTTTTTTAAATGTATCACTAAGAAGTGAACGTTTTCTATATCCTGCAATATATACATTGTTTAACTGAAAGCAGTTTAATTAAGTGGTGTTGACTGCTGTCACTGAACTTTGCAGCTTCAGTATGTAGATATCTGTATGCCAGCAGGTATAATTCTTCAGAGAGCACATCTTTCTCTCAGAGCCAAAACTGAGATGAAAGTGGTACACATTCTGTTCTTTTCTTACTCCTGTTCCAACAGGCAAGCTACATTGTTTCTGTGCTTCAGAAAATCGAGAATAAAACACAAAGAGACAGTTCCCACATTCATCAGTTTGGAGTCTACAGCAAGGACAGATTTATATGATGAAATTAAGTCTATGCTGTCAATCATTACAATGAAGAATGAATAACAGTTTACCTTAAGATCACGATGAACTATGCATTTCTGATGACAGTACTGCACTGCAGATACAATCTGAAACACCAAGAGAATCAGAAAAATATTTTAGCTTAAATTCAATATAAATTTTCGCAAATTATTTATTAATTTTAGCTCCTGTTATGATTCAGCAAAACAAAAGAGTTAATACAAAAATTTTCCTTTCAGAAAATATTCACGTACGTTTCATAAAATCTCAAATACCAAAACTCTAAAATCCATAAGGACAACTCATTTTCTTATTAAAAAGTTTAATACATACTCCTGCAGGTAACAGATGCAGAGAAGCATCTGTTTTAAATACTGATTGCACAATAGCTGAGAAGGGAAACAATTTTTTTTTGAAAAATCAGTAGCTGAATGTTCCACTTCAGATTTTATCATCTAAAATACCAGTAGCATACCTGCACATTTCATCAACAGAATAGTTCATTACACATTTTCATATGCATCTTTTTCATTTGCATAACAAAAAGACAAACTTAAAAAAAAATAAAAGTAGTATCTTTACATGTTAAGCATACAATTTAACTCCAAAATTTTGCTCATCAATCTATTAAAGCTTTTCACAAAAACAGTACAAGAAAAAATTAGGATGAAAAGGTTTGTAAATAAGATATAAAATCCTTTTACATAATGTCCCTTGTAGAAAACGATGTGACAAGATAAAGCAAGAGACATGCAATAATATCAACATCTCCAGATAGAATGTCTGTTAAACTCCAAAGTATTCAGAAAACAATGAAAACCTCAAGCGAGTCACAATAAAAAATGTGGCCCTTAGGATTCCACTAAAAAGAATGTAAAGCAGCCTATTACTATTTTTAGATGGTACGTAGGAAGCAGATATTTCTTCTACAGCAATTTCTTCCACTCCAGCTTTAATAAACATTACCACAACAATGAACTTTTTTTTTTTAAAGCAAAAAAAGTATGCACACACCCAAGTCTATTTGAAAATACCATACATAGAATCGAAAGATTGAATGTTAATTTCATACCTGCCTGAATTTTGCACGAGCTTCTTTTTCTTTCATTCTTCCATGTGCAACTAAGTAGTCAAACACTTCTCCTAAACACAAATAGGAGAAAATATCAGTCCTATTGACCACGGTTATGTTTTTGACTGTAAAGCACAATCAGGCAATGCTTGAAAACAAACCCTCCCCCTTTCAGAGCAGAGAGAAATAGAAGCAGACAGGAAAAACTGCATTTTACTGCTTGCATTCATTTTCTTTTCTAGACACGTAACAGTCAACAAATACAAACATTAAAAACCTCTGTACTAAGACTTCCTCAGTTATCCAACACAAATTTAAAAAACACTGAGACAGAACAAAATGACTTGTCATCTTAAAAAAACAAACAAACTTATGTTGCATATAAAATATGCTGGGAATCAGAAGACTACTTCTATGTCAGATCTGTTCTGCTCATCTCTAGCCACTTCACTCAGGAGCGTATGCACTACTTGCTTTTCTTTCTTCCCAGTTGTTCTAAGATAAAGTTGCTACAATTCTGTCCAGACCTTGATCTTTGCACAGTCTGACAAACAGCCCTTCCTAACTGGTCACCAGCCTTGCGCTGGGTTCCCTTCCCATGTTCAAACAGTTTCATTCAGCTGATAAGCAGCTTCCCATGCATGCACTCACTCATAATGGACTCATGTCTATTATGTTCTTTATGATCAGCTGGTCCCACTTTTTCTTATTCCTTATTCACATCCCCTGGACCTGCCTCTCCAAGCGCTTAGCGCACATTTTCAAGGTAAAATGAGGATTGGTGCTTGCTTAAATATGGCAGATACTGAGTCAAGCTTTCACCCTGAATTGGCACGAGGTTTTCAGCAATAAACCTTAGATCAGTACTTACCCTTAAGCACAAATCTAATAGGTTACTTTACAGAGCATTATGCAAGCAAGAAAGAGTACGACCTGGGATGTCTACTAGGATGGTTCTGAAGAGTAGACTTGAATAACCCATTAAGCATAAAATCCTTAAGTTGTTCCGAAGCATGCAAGCGGCATGGCTTTCTGCATTTCAGTTCATCCTTAAAGCAGAATTAAGAATTCACTTACCCCCGCTGGCATATTCCATTACCAAATACAATGTCTTTTCAGTTTCAATGACTTCAAATAATTTCACTGCAAGAAAAATGAATAAGAGATTGCAGTAGGGAACAAAAGCACAAAGCAAACAAACAAACAAAAAAAACCCCTTATTCATGAAGTGAGTATAATTTATTGCCAATGAGAACATTACACTGCAAGGAAATTGTATCTCCTTTAGGTTAGCACTCTTTTGTGGGTGAGGGGAGAAAGCAAAGTTACTTTCAGGGTTGAAAATAAAACACATTAATTCACAGTTTCCTCACAAGTTTATGCATACTATACAAACAGGTTCATGCTAGAATTAGTGTTTAATTTGACAGACTTCTGTAAGACCATACAAACCTTCCCTGTTTCACCAGTAAATTGTTCTCAGTTAGAAAACTGATACGCTGACCAACTAAAAACTTGTTAAGTCTGACAGACTTCCCTCAGATACCAATAGCCATCACACATTTAAAACAAACACACCACCACAGCCCTCCCCCACCCCACCCCACCCCCCCCCCCCCCAAAAAAAAGAAAACCCAACAAAAACCAGCAGAAGCTAAGAATGTTGGAAAAGCAAGAAATGATTCAAGGGGTGAAAAGGGAGTGCCTAGCATGTAGTAACTTGTATGCCTTGTCCATACCTTGTATGCAACAAGCCCTCTGGCCGATTCAGGAACATTAAGTGTCTCTGGAACAAGACTGTCCAGCCCTCCTCAGCCAGAAGAATTGTCATCACAAAGTAGGGCCCTGAAGCTGTGGGGTAGGTGAAAGAACTAAAGCAGAAAGGGAAAATTACATGCTTGGCAAGTCTAATTTTCTGGAAATATTAGGTGGCAGGAGTCTTTCCTAGACTGAAACAATGGAGTTTTCCTCATTTCACCTAAGAAACTAAGAAATTTAAGGAGGGAAATTTGGTCCCTTGGCTGACCAGAGTGCTCAATGTTGATGTTTTTCATGACTGTACATTTTATCTCCTTATGTCAATAATCTTGTCTCAAGCAGGGCCAATAAAGTGAGACAGAAATATATTTACCCAATGCCTACTGTCCTATTATCTCAGAAGTTTAAGGAACAAAAGCATAATAGTGAAGAACATTCAAAATAAAACCCAGAGAGTAAACAGCATAATAAAGAAGTTTGCAGAAATGCAGGACTCCTACCAATATTGGGATGATTCAGTATCTTCATTATTCGTACTTCTCGAAACAACTGTTGGGAAGGAAGAAAACATTCTTAGAGTATGTTACTTAAAATAAAACATTTTATAAGGTGAGAAGGAACAGCGTAAGCCATAGGAATTAACATCAGCAGAAAACGCTCTCTATGTATACATAAGAAATAGCCCAGTGAACTCCAGTGAATGAAACCCACATCTTGAATATTATCTAATGTAACAATCACCAATTTAACAGTGAAGAGCATAAATTACTACCAGCCATTTACAAAAAAAGACACCCATTTTCAAGCTTTATACAAACAAAAACTAATTTTATAGCTCCTTCTGCAATACCAACTTTTAGGGTTTCCTCTGACCAAAAAGAATGGAATATTTTCATAGAAAATACTAATAGAATGGCCTAGGTTGAAAAGGACCTCAAAGCTCATCTAGTTTCAATCCCCCTGCTATGTGCAGGGTCACCAACCACCAGACCAGGCTGCCCAGAGCCACATCCAGCCTGGCCTTGAACGCATCCAAGGATGGGGCATCCACAACCTCTCTAAGCAAACACAAGCTGTTGTTATCCCTCTGCGAGCTGACTGTTTTGGTTGCCTGCAAGCTCTGTTAACTATCTTGAACTACCTCTAAGTAAGAGGGCGCATGTAAGGTGTACTATCACAAAAAAAAAAAAAAGAAATAAATAAAAAAAATCTTAAGACATCATTAAAAAAGAATCAGAGACCAGGAATCCTGACATTCCAGACTTCATGCTCCACAGAGGTGAAGAGTAAAAATTCCCTTTTCTCATAGATGGGAAAGAGAAAGGACATTGTGATTAGTGACCCATCAAGGCTGGAAGGGTTGTTACTGAAGTCTGCTTGATGATCCTGAGTCATGTAATCAAAAACAAACTTGCACCTAAGCATAAATCTAAGACAAAAATGTTCTTTTTTAGTTTTTGTTGTTTAAACCAGAAAGAAGATAGAGCTTTAAGAGGTCTCTGCTTTTGCATTTCAAGCATTTTTGGTTTTACCATTTAAAGAAGAGATGTTGCAAGACTGACCTAGGGGCTGAAAGGGAAGAAGACAAACAGAAGGAATCCAAAGAGACTAAACAGTTTTGTTCAGCAGTATTTACAGCTTTTAGAACCATGTAAGCTTGCATCATTTTACTTCACTGAGCAGCATATCCCCACTCTCCAACCTATTCACTGTGCTATACACACTCCAGTCCCAATAGGTTGTTGAAATGCAGGGAAAAGCTCACTGCCTTCAGTACAGCGTTCAGCTATTTTGGAAACATTCACTACAGCCCTCCTTACATAAAAATCCTGGCTCAATGATTGTGGCTGTTTTGCTCATCTGATGTCTCAGAGGACATCTCACCATTTTCAAAATTAGTCTGGACGCAAAAGGCTACAAAAAAGTACAATGATGCAAGCTGGAGACTGAACTCCTCCTGAAAGAGTGGAGTAGCACTTCAGTTAATATATGATGCTTGAGAAAACAGGAATATTTCTCTGGGAAAACACGAGCAACACACTGCAGCTCATTTGTGTTCAGAATGGAACACGTGGGTGCGTAATACAGCACAAGAATGAACTTTTGCAAAATTTTCTTGTTTGTTCACAAAGCCAGTTAAAAACCATCACACCAAGTTGTAACCTAATTCATTAGAAGCTAACAAATCCCAAACCAGTGGATTGCATAATAGAACTACTTGAGAAAGGCTACTAAGCAGATATACATGCAAAACTGCTATTCCGGCCAAAAGACCAGAATGGAACTTCTCAACTGAACAGTATTATTATTGGTATAGAAGTCATGGCCATGAACACAGGTCTTCATAAGCAGTATTTAATATTAAATTTCTATAAACAATTTCAAATTTAGAAAAAACACTATCAAGGACCACAGTTTTATATGAACACACCATGAAGCACACCACTGTCAAAATACACGTGTATTATTCTATGCAATATTCTCGAAGGATTTGGAAGTTTACTAATTGGTTTAAGATTCAAAATTGTCTTCCTAACAACAAGAACTTTCATTCTACGTTTATAGTTTTTCTTCCAGGAACAAAATGGACATAAAAATAAGTTCTGTATTGAGGACAAAAGAGCTGACCATTAGCCTCATGCACATACTTTGTTCTATGAAACACTTCCTTGCTCAGGCTCTGAACAGAATACATCATTATGATCCAAGGTTGGGGCCTAGGTTTCTTACACATAAATGCCAATAGATTCCCCCCCAGCCCACCCCCAACACCTCGTAGCACATATTCTCTTGAAAAGAAATTTTTCCAAAAACTGAAACATATGTTCTCACATCAAAGCAGATACACAGAGCTAGTAGTAATCTAGAATACATGAAGAGGTATTAACAGTCTCAACCTTTTACAAGTCTCAACCTTTTAAAAGAACCAAATCAACTCACAAGGTGAAATAGGGTATTTTCTTCTTGGAGAACAGTTCTGGGGGGCTTGTTGGCAGAGATGGCAATTCTGTGATGCTGGTGTTTTGTTTTGCTTCTTTGTTTTGGGGGATTGTTTTGTTGTTGTTTACTCCGAAGTACTTCTTGAAGGTTGAAATGTGCATGTATGCTTAAAACAGGAACTGGGCAAGGCTGAAGCAGCAGAAATTATCTTGGGTGATACTCATCCAAACAGATTATGTCAGGCAGAAGCTGAATGGAAACGTGCTATTTTATCAGTGGGATGGTGTCTGCCTCTCTACACATGCAGGCAGCACCAGAATATTGCTCACTCAAAAAATGAAAGCACTCTGTTTTCCCCTTCCCCTGCCTACCACAAATTTCTAAGACTGTTCTTCAGTCCTAAATGTGTTCCCATTTAGAAAGTTCTCAAACAAGCATTTTATTTTGCAAATGGGTAATAGCCTCAAAAGCTTCATTTACAGTACAGGACAGCAAACACCATACTCAATTTGTAGAGTTTCTACCTGTGGAAAAGGCAGAAGGCCTCAAAATTCAATTCCTGCTTTTGCAGTTTCATTTTTTCAGGGCACATAGTGTAGAAAATAAAGAAATCAGCTTGCTGTCAGGTTGACATCTACAATCAGGATTTACTGTTTTAAGTCACTAAAAATCAAACTAAAAATCTTAGCAAAAATCAATCTAGTTTCTAAATCATTATGAGAAGGGACGTGAAAAAATAAAACAAAAAGAAAATAACTACAAACAGATAACACATAGAAGATGTGGAACAATTTCAACCACTTATTTTTGTTGCATTATGAAGAAAACTCAAAAGAACCTAAGTTGTAGCCTAAGATATAGTTAACGAGTACAAGGCCCAGTGAACTGCTGAAACGGGGAAACCTGAAAATGTCACTCCCTAATGAAACCTACTCAGAACAAAAGCACCTTCTGCTCTCCAAGTGTTTTATGTAGGAGGACCAGAATGCTATTTCAGAAACATCACCAGCAAAGCCAATACAAGAAGATGCTTTCATGTAACTGACATGCAGAAAATAGAACAGGTATTGACATAAATTCAAGTTATTATGAAACCCAAATGCTTACATTTGGGAAAATGTAACTATCATGACAGTGGAAAAAGCCAGGTCAGAACAATGCACTATTATCTGGACAAAAGTCCACAATAAAAGCCAGTTTCACCCCTTACGCAGGTGCTCACAGAACGAGAACCACACAGTGAAAAATTAGAAAGGCAAACAATTCTTAATTCAATGCTGCTGACCTATTTAAATAGAGGTCCTGAAGCAAGAAGAATATTAGAACTTAAGACAACTTACCACACTGCATGCCAGAGAGCCCAGATGGAAAATTCACAAGGACAGCTTATTTCTGTCATTACTTAACACCTGATGTTTTTATTTGACTATACCTGCCAAATTGCTTGTCCATTCAACAGGGCACAAATTGCAGCTAATGTCAAACTAAACTTTCACTGCTTGCATGACACTAGCAGCAACTGAGTACATGCTCAAATATTTGTTTACAAGTTGGAAGAGTACATGTGAAATGAGGATGCTTCAGCTCATTCTACCCAATTAGGTCAGCAGCAAGTACTAAAGCGAAGCCTAATTGCCCTTTGTATCCTTTATATGGCAGTAACAGAGAGAGAAGGCACAGAGCTCATTCACAAAATCCAAGATCACTACGCATCTGTCACGTCTGATTAATAACACACATCCAAAAGTTACTGAAGGCCTACACGTTCTGCTGACCTGCACACAACTTCCTACTTCCATTAAGTGACAGCATTCTCAGCTATGCTGCTTCTGATGACCTCAAACTCAGGAGTGGCTTTTTTGTGGTAGTAACTTGCTTTAGCATTCTGTATAAATGATCACAAGAAAAGTATCTGTTCCTATTTAAATCATGGTACTATCACCATTCCCCACTTCTAATGTTATATCTTAAAGAAAAGTTGACTGCTTAACAGTCCTATGCACAACTTCAATGGATAAAATAATAAAAATTCTGGCCATACGGAGATTCAATAAAACATAAGAGACCAAATGTTTCTATTTTTTCTTTCTGTACTTAACATTATAAAATACAACAGTGAAACTTGGAGATTTCACAGAGTAACTTCTACATATTTTTATTTTTTAATGCAGATGATATCAAATACTGCCAGTTAGTAATTCTAACCCCAATTATTGGCATGAATTATAACTCATTTATCAATAAAGCTGAAATAAAACTTCCTGCAAAACTTAAGAAGTCTCTAAAGCTATAAAAGTACACTGTTTCTACAGAAATTAGGGAGTTAAATAAGACCTGTTAAAAGTTTACCAAACAAAAAAACCAAGAACTTTTAAAATAATTACATGTAAATTTAGAAGTAAAAAGATTAAAGCAACCTAAGTAGCATCACATCTAATTAATGGCTTTTTTTCTTCCTCTGAAGTATACTTCAATCTAAGCAGATGTTTAAAAGGCATTGTTTTTAAAAGAGCATCTAAATCTTTCTTTCAGTGAGAACAAATCTTTCATTTTCCCTATCCTAACATACACACAGAGCTCAAAGGTAGTTAAACTCTATTGTATGCCATAATCCACACACTGAAGCATTTCTTATCTCATAAACTAACAGTGCTTAGACCACAAAGTTCACTGAATACTCATTCACTCTGTTTTTGTTTGCAGTTTTTGCCTTGTAAGTGAAAGAGAACGTATCAATTTGAAAATGAGAAATCCAATACTTTTGAAGGATATGTTGATTATTTCCACAAAAATACTCCTCACTTATGACAGAAACATATTGAGCTTTACATCTCCACCAACAGTTTCTCATTAATTTGTCCCAAACTACTAAGACTTAAGAAAAAAAATCTTCTGTAGACTTGGATGTTAATTTCTGTTTTCCTGTAAACTATTGTAAAAAAGGAAACAATTCATTTGGAAGTTGGAATAAAAGACCACTTGATTGAAATACACTGGCAAAACACATCTTTCACCTTCTTATTGCTCAGCCCTGCTCATCTAACTGTCCCAGCATAATTACCAAGCTAGGTAGGAAACAAGCTGCATGACAAGCTACAGGACAGGATTTCCCCTATATACTCTGTAAAGTACTGCTCTGATGGGTCCCTCTTCACCAACTTGCAAAGAGATTTGCTTCACACAGGACAGGCCTTAAGGACAGCAATGCTTTTGCATGGACTCTGCTCAACAGGTTGAAATAAAGAAAATCCTCAAGAACCTACACATCACAAAAATACCATAGAGCAGAAATTAAACAAATAGAAAAGCTAAAAGAAATTAAAGCTAAGTTATTCACAACTCTCCATATACAAAATTACAAAAAAAAAATAATCAAAAACAATGACAGCCAGAGATAAAGGAACAGCAATGAGTCTCAGCTTCTTTCTCATTCTACAGTTACAACAGCAGTCAAGTATCTATAAACAAAAAAACATCTTTTTTCTTTTTAATGGGTAACCTCCAGTCAGCCAAAACCTTTCTGTGCTTCAGTCAAAACACAAATACATGCACAGTTAAATGGCACAAACAAACCGAAGACAAAGAGCAAGAAAAAAAAACAACACAACAATCCTGGGTTTTAGTAAAACACTTATTACAGCATGACAATGCCTACACAGGGCTTCTGAATGTCTATCTGCAGGTACTGACAGTGCAACAAACCAACCAGAATGTTCCAATTACCTCCACTCAATTCTGTACACAAAAGTAATTGCCCAAGGTCATTTGAGTTTAACAAATGTTTTATTGAAGCTGCAAGAACAAAGGTAAAAAGAAAAAACACAAAACATTAAAGCCATAGAAACTGGCCCTCTCACAACTCCACAGAAAACAATTACTCTATTAAAGAAAAATCCAAGAAAAACACTGTCCTTTATAGCATTTCATCTTGATTTAGTGTGCAGACAAGTTATTTGTGTAACTAATTAGACACACATTTTATTGTCAGCAAAAACTGAAGCCAGAGGAAGAAGGAAGAGCAAAAAAGTAGTGCTCAGTTAGGAACCGTAGCAAACAAACTGCACATGCACATCGTAGTGAAGGCTGTAGGATACCAGTGTCTCCAAAGGTCACAGATACACAGAGATGTTTATTTAACCAGATAAAAAGACCAAATATTTTTGCAAAGGAAATAAAAGGTCGAAGTTCAACTGATTACAGTTTCAGATACCACAATATGCTCTTACCTTTTGCAGACTAGTAGGATTTAGCTGGGTTTTATCAATTATTTTCACAGCAACCTTGGGGAAGAAAAAAACAACTCAGATTAAACTCAGAGAAATGTGTGAATGACAATATACTGCATATCTATGAGCAACAGCAAACCTATGCCTTTAAGATATGCATATATATGCTTTTATGCATTCCAGCAGGCAAAATTTCTCAACAATCAGGCTCTATAAGCAGGAATTCAGGATTTTGCCACTGGATCATACCACAACAGAATCATTTTACACTTCTGTCAGTATTTGGACACAACAATGTTATCCTGTTTGCTGGAAAACCACCCCTCCCAACTACCAAAATCAGTAAGGTTTTCTTTGGTTTGGGAAACCAGAGGATGAATGGAGCTCTCCCAAAAATCCAAAATACCTTCTGATGGGCAACAAAGTTCCTGGCCTTTTCTCCAAAAAGTTCTATTTTCAAAAAAGGCAAGTGAGTCGGGAAAGCAAACTCACAAACATCAAATAACCACTCATACAAAAGTGAAGCTCTTTTATTTAGAAGAAAAGGGTAAAAGAAAAGTGAAAATACTCATCATAAAGACAGACAAAGAGTACATGAAATACTGTGACAGCTTTTTTTTTTTTTTTTTTTTTTTAAGAAAAGGCTTACCTCCCTTCCAGTAAGAACATGTCTTGCCAGCTTCACTTTGGCAAAATTTCCTTTTCCTATTGTTTTCAGTAAGCGATAATTTCCAATGTGAGGATGCTCCTCATTTGTAGACGTAATTGAGTTCCTACATCGGGGGATGTTCTGTCTGCTACTGGACTTGATAGGCTGGACGTGGGGTTCAGTGTATCCATCCACAGAGGTATGCTGGAAGAAGATAAAATATTTGAAAATTTACCTAATTGAATTTCAGACTGTTGCAGTTAAATAAATTAAAAGCCAAAAGAAGTGTGGAGGGGAAGGAATGAATTTACTTTTTGCAAGTATGTCTGATAACCAGATTGTAGCCTAAGCAGAGCACACTGCTTTTGTATACAGTTTGATGCATGACTCAAGAAAAAGGTCTGAAAAAAGATTTTTACCAACTCCAAAAGTAAAACTGGAAACACACAGGCAGGAACCAATAAGCCATTACAGACCTCCTTCTAATACAAAACCAGGTCAAACTATAAACCATGTTTCTAATGCACAATCTCAACCAAATTTAGTCATTAAAAAAAAAAACAGTACAAAAAGTATTTGTGTTTTTGGCACGTGATAACAAAGCGTTGCTCAATTTTTTTCCCCAACTTTCTTCATCTCAAGTAACGTTACAATAAAATTGTATTTTTTACATAAGACGTGTTCCCCAAACATGCTTGCTTCTTTCTGTAAGCCACAGTTCTTGAAGTAATGAATAACCTACATCTTTAGTTAAAAAGTCAGGAGAAAGAAAAATATGAAGGCTCATAAATATATTTCAAACCGCAAAAGCCTTAAGAAGAACAAGAAAGCAATTTTTAACACAAGTCAGTACATTATCTCACATTAAATGTCAGTAACTAAAACTTGCAGTGCTTCTGTACTACCCACTTTCCCAGCACATAATGGGCAAGATGTGTGAAACACATGAACCTAGGGGTGCTGATCAACACTAGGCCAAACATGAGCCAGCAGTGTGCCCAGGTAGCCAAGGTCAGTAGTATCCTGGCTTGTATCAGAAACAGCATTGCCATGAGCAGGGAGGTGACCATTCATCTGTACTCAGCTCTGGTGAGGCTGCATCTTGAGTGCTGTATTCAGTTCCGGGCCCCCCACTACAAGGAAGACATTGAGGCCCTAGAGCACGTCCATGGAAGGGCAACGAAGCTTGTGAGGGGTTGGAGCACAAGTCTTATGGGGAGCTGCTAAGGGAGCTGGGATCCTTCAGTCTGGAGGCGGCTCAGGGGGAGACCTTATCGATCTCTACAACTGCCAGACAGGAGGTCACTGTGAGAGGGGGTCAGTCTCTTCTCCTGGGTAACTAGGGATAGGACTAGAGGGGATGGCCCCAAGCTGCACCAGGGGAGATTCAGGTTGGATGCAAGGAAAAATTTTTTCTCTGAAAGAGTGGTCAGGCACTGGAATGAGCTGCTGAGACAGGTGGTGGAGTCATCATCCCTGGAGGCATTCAAGAAATGTTTGGATGTTGCATTGAGGGATATGGTTCAGTAGGAAATACTGGTGGTAGGTGGAGGTTGGACTAGATGATGTTGGAGGCCTTTCCCAACCTTGGTGACTCCATTGGAAACATTCCCAGCAGAAACCAAAGTACAAGGAGATGTTAAAAAGGGATTAAGCATTTCTTGTATTTCATTTCTTGTATCAGTGGCAAATTAAATTATCTTAGAGGTCTTCTCCCACCTTGGTGATTCTATGACTTTATGAAATTTTTTACATGTAAAATTTAGCCTCCCACTTTTTCTGCTACAGATTTTAAGGCAGGCAAATGCTGTAGGTAAAAACAATGAATATTTAAATTTAGTAGCAGAAAGGCACAACTACTCATCCCAGGTCTCTCAGCTCCTAGTAAGCATCAATCACAAAATTCAAGATACAGTAGTATTTATTTTTTATTCATTGCTTCACTCAAGAAGTGGCTATCTCAGTACCTTGATACAGAGCACTGTGCCTGTTTACAGACCAAAGGTTTCTGGATCTTTCACCTCTTCAGCTGAGAGAAGAGCCAGAAGGCAGCACTAAGTTGCCCTGTAAACTCTCCCACCCAGTCATTTGCTAGGCAAGTCCTTATTTTCTTCTACAAGATAGAATTTGAGGTGATGCTTCCAGCTTTAGCATGTGGTTATTACAGACTGATGTCAGCCTGCTCCTGTAAACAGCGAGTTATTTCAGTCTATGAGCACTAGTAGAACTGGGAAAACTAGCAAATAGCTGCAATGAAACTGGAAAAAAAACAAGGAGTACACCACAGCCAAAATGTACCTACCAAATGTAGCACAGCTCTCTTTACATCACCTCTATCATTATTCATAACAGCCAGGACAACAGTCCTAAATATAATTTTCTGCTCAGCTTTTCATTATCTGAACATCTCTGCAAAATACTGCTTTACCCCCACTGCTTAATTTAGAACTAGAACATTTTCCAAATTATTTCAGAACCAAGCAAGTCAGGCATGTTTAGATTCTGTGTATCAGTCAAATTTATTCAGCCATAAAACAACACACTAGCAATAGTATTTATCCTTCAGAAGCGCATAATTAAATACTTTGTGGACTCAGAGGATCAGAAGGACAGCCCCAGGCTAACAGGCTGTGAAACATTCCTTCAACATAGGACTCCAGTCTTGCATGTGACAGACAGAGCCCAAATGAAAATCTTATTTAAGAAAACATCCTGCAAGTCATTATTTGTATAGCACTGACCAGGAATATTCCAGTCAGACCTAGAACACCATCCAGAGCTCCAGCACTGTGTTACACAAACCAGTTTTGAATCTCTGAGCTTATTTATGCACACAGTTAAACCCTGTCGTGAAATATGATGCCTATCAGAAGCATTAGCAATCCTAATATTAATTGCCAATTTCACACACATCATAGGATTAGCCTCCTTCCAGTAGGTACTTGAAAGGATCTTTTAGATAAGCATTTGGATGGGCAACAAAACCAATGCCACTGGCAATGGGAAAGAGCCTCACTCAAGAGATCATTTTCACGCAGATTTAAGAGGGAAATCAGTTATCAGACAAGATAACACAGAACTTATCTGAAGAGGAAAAAAAGCAAATGAGGTTCACGGTCATGATAACTCTGGATTTGGTCTGTGACAGAAAACGTCCCCTCCTAGTTTTATAATTCTTTCCCCTTAGACCGCTTATCTTCTTAGTAAAGCCTTCTCCACAGCTAGGGCTCAAAACGTCAGAATGCATGCATAAAAAATGTTAAGTTTCTTAGCTTGTGAGCCACATGCATATGATTTCTGAATGAGCAGTGAATGTATTTCTAATTACTTTTCTGAAGTTTTGAAATAAACCTCTCTTTCACACAAACAGGTTGCTGTTGTTGGAGAATATAGGGGAATTTGCAGATGAAACTCATCAGCTTCTGCAAATCAGTATTAAATGAAATGCAAACATGACTAAGTTGAGACATCAAACAGACAACAAAAAACAAAACCCACAACAAAACTTAGATCACATAATAGCATATCAGAGATTTCTTCCAAACAACACTAAAGCTGAATTCAACAGAATCATACAATATCCACAGAGTAGTTTTAAGACATTTCTGGTCCATTACAATACGTTCATTCATTATGCATCAGCTACTGCGAGGCTATTTTAAAATGCTATTTCAGAACAACCACCTCTAAGCTCTGAGAAATTTGTCAGGATGCTGGAAACAAGTGGGCTGTTAATAAAAAATAAAAATCCCTACCATCTAATAACAATTCTAGCTAACAACCTGCAATTCCTAGAGAGGTTTTTTAGTTAGGGATTCTGATATTTCTCTAGATATCTTAATTTACCTTGACATTTATGTAATGGGAAATAGCTGTCATGGTAGATACAAAGCCTGTGCTTCTGTACTGCACTAATTCAGCATCCTTCCATTGTTTAGCTACCACTGGGATATATTCCCACTGATTGTATGCTTTAATGAAACTTGCATCATCAAATACGATACCCATTCTTATAGTCTTAAGAAGTCCCCAAAACTATTCTGGCCACCAAACCATGTTCTCTTTTAATTAAACACATAAGGCCTTGATAGCCCTTTGGAGCTGCACCTAACTTCCACACATCAGTATGCCTATCAGCATACCTCATCAGATTAAGCAAACTTCTTAGTCCCTTCTTGAATTACCCAAGTCAAATTCCTCAGTGCAGTCACCCACAGAACTGAAGAAAGAACACACAGTGCTAGATAAGGCACAGCATCACATTTCTGCTCTCAATATTATCTCCTGCTCTGAACTTCACTTTCTTGCAGCCAATTTTCATGCTCATAACCCCAGGCATTTTCAAGCATGTGTCACACACACACAAGCATTTGTAACAGTGGTCATATTTTGCAAGATTATCCAAATAACCAGTGCAGAGAGAGGACTCTATGTGGCTCAGAAACTTTCTTCTCTATAGCTCTGACTTCTAACAGCTTTGATGCACAATACAGGGGCATGGACAAAGAGAAGAGAAGGATGAGATGTCACGACCTGGATGTCTGCTTGTTTTTGTACTTTAACTGCTTGCTGTCTGTAACTACTGATTCATTCCCTAAGAGATTCTCACAAAACACCTCTTCTCCCTTTCGCTTAAGTAACAACCAAACCAAACTAGACAAGTTGAATTTTTTTTTTTTTTTTTTGAGAAGTCATGGCAAACCTCAGCATGAAACCAACACAGATGTTTAGATCTGCTTCTTCAGCATTATCCGTGAAGAGCTTCAGGTACAGTGGGAGGTGTGGTGCAGCTCAAGCTGCAGGTGACAGCATCTGATCTCTCAGCTACTGCCAGAAGAGGATTCGCTGTTATTCCAGGTAAATCTCACACCTGCACAAAACCACTGCTTACTCTTGCCACAAGTACCCATCATGCCATACTACAATTCCTAAAGCACTCCTGATCTTAATCAAAAGATTCTCAGGCCAATATCCACCCTAATGGTCCACATAGTACACATAAGAAAGTACTCTGAAAGTGATAATTAAAAAGACAAAAATGTGTGTGTATACACAGAATTCTTTTCTTAATGCCTTATCAGCAGCTAGACTACAAATGCATGACAGGAACTTTGTTACTAAAAGAAATGAAACAATCAACCTATTCCACTTAAACAGGACAATGTGCAGGACACAACTCAAAAGCACACAAGAATGAACCCCACAAAAATACTGTAAGGGAAACAGAATGCACAGAACATTTTAATTGGATATCAATGCATGGTGGAGAGAGAAGAGAATGAGACAAAACTGTGAAGAGCTTTCTTTGACCTGCACCCATATGCTGAGCCTGCTCATACAGGCTTTCCAGCAGTGCTCACTGAAAGTAATCAACCACACGCATGCGCATCTCTCTGTTTATATCTGATTTACATAACATGCAGGAATTCCAGGCATGAACTTCTGGAAGAGCTTGAAGCTATCAGCAGTAAGAAACAATGAGTTTGAATAAAACTGGTTGCAGTCAAGCACGTGCAAGCATTTCATTAACTGAAACTGTGATTTCATGCACGCACATATGTATATATTTATGTCCAGCCTATACACATGGAGCTCAATACACAGTATTAAGTACGATACTAAACAGGATAACTTTCATCCTTTTTTTTTTTTGTATCTTTCCTCTTCTTCCCAACTGTAACTTTCTCTATTTCAGAAACAGCTTCAAAGAAAAGAAACAAACTTACTTCTGCTGCAAGAGACAGTACAATAAAAAGAAAATAAAAAGATTCATTCCTGAATCTTTATATATATCAGCAATAGGTCTGCTCGCACAGCCCACAGAGTAAATCTTAAAACTTGCTTATTACTATAGTCCCTAAGTCCTGTAAAAGCTTTTTTTAGCCTGAAGCACTCAACACAGTTTCACGAGACAGAAGTCAGTTTGCCAACTCCAAGACAGAATTGTTTCTCTAATCACAAAATACAGAGGCTGCAATATTTATGGGTCTGCACTTCAAGCAATCTAGGATAGAAAACAGGGTGTGCCCTATTGCTCCACAGCAAATCCAATGCATTTCCACAGTTCTCCAGAATACATGTAATTCTATACAGAATCATGGAATGGTTTATGTTGGAAGGGACCTTTAAGACCATCTAGTTCCAACCCCCTGCTACAGGCAAGGACACCTCCCTCTAGACCAGGTTGCTCACAGCCCCATCCAGCCTGATCTTGAATACCTCCAGGGAGGGGGCATCCACAGCCTTGCTGGGCAACCTGTTCCAGTGTGTCCAGTATAACGACACTAACCCAACAAACCCTTCTCATGGCATATCAGACATATATGTTATGTGGAAAAGTGAAACTTATCATCAAATAGAATCACAGCTACTTCTTATACAAAAGTTACAAAAAATGTACTGGTCAACCCCAGAGGAGAGTAGTCCATGAAAGCACTTCACAAAACCCCCTACCTTCATAGCAGCACAGCAGGCCTTGCAGCCCAACAACAGGCACTGCAATGCCTCTGCTTCTCACCCTCCTTCAGGAAGCTTCCCCAGGCAGGCTGGCAGCAGGTGCAAAGAGCAGCACCTTCCTGTGCTTGTTTTATTGTGCTCAAAATTGGCATCGTTATTGCAACCTGGCGCTTTTGCTCCTGACTCATCTCAAACACACAAACAACATTTTCCAGGGCTAATTCAGGACAGCCAGCCCTTATCTTCTCCATTAATTGCTACTGCAAAACAACTGAGCCCGTCGTCTCAAACCCAACAGAAGTTAAGGCAGGATTGCTAAAATCTGCTACAATAAGCCACAGGTGCAGCCAAGGGGAGGAAAAAGAATTCTTCCTAACATCTTGTTAGGTTTACTAATTTTTAATTATTTATCATTCACTGTACTCCTAGAAACTCCAGTCAAATTGTACCAAGCAAGAGAGTCTCCTTTTTTTTCCCCAAAATGAAATGGTTAACATACCTCACAGGCAAAACCTAACATGAATCCTTTTAGCAGAGAAGCAGAGGGGGGAAGGAAGGAGACAAGTCATTCCTGCTGCAGCCTCATAGGCACGTTTAAACCATCCAACGCTTCCTGCCAGCTGCTGCTCTTTTCTCAGGAGATCATCGTTCAGCTTTGCCAGTCCCTTCTGCCTTCTTCTGGGATATCTCCTGCCAGCACCGAGCTGCAGACAGCATTCTCAGCTCCCCTGCCAGCACCCACAGGCACCAGGCACCCACAGTTAGTTCCAAAGTATTCCACAGTACAAAATGAAATGAAAAGCTAATGCTGATAGCTAATTGGAACCAACTAAACACGAACAGGAAAACAACCAGAAAGTGAAACTTCTGGCAAAGGAAACTGGCAGGAGCTTTTATTGCACTTATAAACGACGCAGCCAGACCATTTTTCAGCTGGCCTGATGAAAGGCAGGAGGAGAGAGACATGAAACAACCTAAGGCACAGGATCATATCAGGCACATGGAGCTTCTCAAAGTGATTGCAGGAATACAAGAAATGGAAGATGCTTTAATACCCAACTTCAAAACAGAGGGGAAAGGGCTGTTTCTGCAAACTACAATCTGCAAGCCTGAGGCTTGCATCCAGATGATGAGATGAGCAGCAACGAGTTAGCAACTAAACCAAAGCAAAAACTCAGAAGGACTGGGGGAAAAAAATGAACCAAAGCAGATTAAAGCCCAGCAAAGAAAGAAGGAGACTTGCCGATTTGTTTTGTTTATGAACACAGGCTTGGTGAGGTAGAAGAGCATGCAACACCTGCTTAAGAAGCTATTCTTTAGGAACAACATGCATGGGTAAATCACTTAATATTTCTATCACGTGAAACAGAAAATGAAGTTATTCCTTGCAAGCTAGACAGTATGCCTGAGTCTTTACATTTCCATGAGTGTATTAGTCCAATGATGAATCCATCAAGACAGACTGCTGTCTCATTCTGATAAAATCATTTCACCTCAAGGTTTTATTAACTTTCTGAAGTACAGTCTCCTGCTGAAAAGTGATGAGATGGCCAATTATAATATCTGACCTGATAGCTATACAACGTCCTACAAAAGAAATCATAGGGCAGCACAGGGCTCTGTGATTTCCTTTAAATCGTGTTTCAATTGAAGATCTCCAGTACTGAGAAGGATTTTGCAACATTCCTTTCCAAATTCTTGAAATTCTAATTTAAAGGACGTGGAGACTCATCGAATTCCCTTTCATATAACACAGACATATCTAAAAGTAGTTGGGCAACCTGTTAATTTTGAGAATTAAAGAGGAAAAAATTGCATGGACATACAGCAGATGAATAGGGCCTATTTTCTGCCTGTTCTTGGGAGCTACAGCCTTCAGGGCAGAGGAAACGAATCCCTCCTGGTCAGGTGAGCACATTCACAGACCCTTGTGCTACTGGACACCAGCTCAGCTTCTTCATGTCAGGCACATTATTATCTCCTGGCCCTCCTTCCTCCTCCTGATACCAACAGAGGACTCTGGAAGCCTACAGCCAAGGAGATGCAGTTAAGCCAGGATTCAGTCAGGCTCTGCATACTGCAGACACTGTTTTCACAAGCACTGACTCACAATCAGTGCATGAGCTGAGCTGTACTCAGCCAACCATCTCCTTGGAGCCCCCTTCTTCTACACTCAGGCAACCACTTGTTATGAACTTTGGCCTTCAGTTATTTAGCATCACAAACTACCAAAATCTGGGGGTGGGAGGGAGGAAGAAAGAAAAGCAACCAACAGCAATGCTCCTCAAAGATTTTGCAAAGGATGTAACGCAGCTAAAAATACTTCCTTTCAGTTTTAAACAGGCTGATACAGTTGATTATGAATATTAACAGGCCAACACATACTGCAGACATCTGTCAATGTACTGAATTCAAGCCATAAACAGAAGTCATATGCGAGCACAGAAAAGAAATGCAAAAGCCAAACTGAAGAAAAAGAAGTAAAATAACTAATGAAAGTCTGTGTTGTGCATGTCAGCAAAAGAAGTGAAGGGAAAAACATTGCAAAAACAACAGACACTGAATTTACTGTCCATTAAAATACAGAGATATGAAAAACTGGAAGAAATAATGTTATTTGTGTATGCATACATATACAGATGAAGCTTAAGAATACAAGGAATTTATGACTAAAGGGTTGAACAAAAGCTAATAGGCATTCAAAATTAATACAGACATTGAAACAAACAGCCAATCCAACAATAAGACAAAAAATGCAAAAAATAACCAGGGCTTTCTCTCTCCAGACCATGACAGTCAGTGGGTGAGGAATCACAGATCCCCAGCTATGGTCTTCCAACCTCCTCCCAGCCTGCAAGCTGTCAAAGTCAGGCACTTCCAGACTTCTCTATCTAGACGGTGAGGGACAGCAAGTAACCACTGGCAGCAGTGGTGACCTCTGGCTCACCATTAGCAGCAACTGTTTGCTCTCTCCTGTGGTGGTCATACTTCAAATCAGACTGGCTAGCAGTAAAGTAAGGCACCTTACAGTCTGCAACTGTCCAGTTCAAGTGGCTTACCTGATTAGATGCTCACATTAAAACAGGAATTAATTTGAATCCATTCATTTCCTACCATCTTTCTACCATCCAACAACTGACATGAATTTGGAAAGCCTTCTACCCTTTCCCCAAAATTATCTCAGGCTAAAAACTTAACTTCATAGTTAAGTTACTCATATGGTGACTGTACAACCTGTCAACATATTCCTCTGTCTCCCAGTTCACTAGCTGCTTTCTTCTGTTGATGTCCCATTGAGCCAGTCTTGGAAATATCTTCAACTAAATCAAGACAATACTAGGAAAACAGATGATGTACTATTGATATTTCTTTCTATCACGACTAGTTTTAGTCCAATAGTCAACGGCTGTATTTAGTTTAGCTTTGGATTAATAACTATCATATGAAGGGAAAGAGAACAAAAAGATGCATATGAGCCTAGTTTGCATCTTCTTTGCTGCTACAGAAGTCCTGACACCACCCAGTTTGAAAATAATTCCATTTAAGTAAAATATTATACACTGCTGGAAATGTATTTAATGAGCAATAGTGAAAAAGCTGACAGCAACACCAAAGCATGAAGTTCCCCAAAAGGTCACACAATCAACCAACAAAACACAAACACACAAACAACAACAGAACACGTACCCTGTAATACTTCAAAAATATTTTGATTTTCATATGAAAATCACCACGGTTCTCATCAGAGAAGCAAGAATAACTTTGCTAGAAAGGACCTTTAAATGCAGTTTATTTCATCAGTTTATTTTTCTTTGCACGGGTTATCAGATTTCTGTCAGCCTCCTTACAAACACTACAATAAGCCATACATTCTCCAATAACAATGCCCTGCATCAACTAATTCCAGTGCCTTTATTAGATCAACTCAGATTGCTCACACTGACTTTCTGCAGATAAGATTTCTCTGCACTATGCAGTAGATGGAGCAAGAGTTGCATTGTGAAGCGCTCTCATACATTTTCTTTGTTCGTGTGCATCATCTGTCCATTGCTGGAAGAAAGATCTCTAAAAAGCAGCCAGCCTTGTTTGTTTCATACCAAATTCAGAGATGAAGATTTGAAAAGCTGTTACGCACACGCATGCCTGGCACAGACTGCTCAGAGACAGTATTATTAATATTTTCTGTATACATCTCATTGTGCGAAATGACTACAATTGTTGCTCCTTCTGGAGTCTGACCTTAAGGAGAAAATGCTATTGTAACTCTTCACTAAACAACATTTTCCTGATTCTTTTTTTGCAGCCACCAGTACACAGTCCCTCCTATGATAACTGCAAAGGAAAAAAAATCTGACTCTTGTTGGAAGAAATTTACTAAATAAAAGCCGGAATGCTTTAAAGAATTCTATTACCTTCAATCGATAATACTATCTGGAATAGAGATGAATAAATACATTACACATACAGTCCATTTGTGGGAAATTACTGTATCCTTTGTAAAAGCTCAACATACCATTTAACAGAGTAAGGTAATTTCCATGGTAAAACTCAGACTCATCTTAATTGTGCAAGTTTCTCTAAATTTCTGAGCTATGCTTGTGCTTATTTTAAGTAATGACAGCAATATCTAAGAATTAGATACTTATATACAACTGCAGCCAAGCAGGCACTCTCAAAAGGAATTTCAGATATTTACTGTTTAAGCACAAGTAATTTACACTGCTGCTATGCATACTGTGCTATTTCCTACACTCGGCTCCCCCAGCTCTGCAGTTCTATCACAATAAATTCCTCATGTATTACTGGAGATCATGAAATAACCCTCTACAGAGAGTATTATAAAATCGTGCATCCCTTCTGACTAATCATAACACAATTTTGGTTACTTTCAGATGACATCTGAGAGAAGAAAGCACAGCAGTGTTACTGGGGGTTGGGGGGAGGAAGAAAATACAGAGTGGGGACAGTCAAGTCTGCAACTGGCAAATATTTCAAGTGGTAACAATCCTCTCTGCTTGTAACTCAAAAAAGAATCCCCAGAACAAACCAACTCCCCTCAGCCCACCCAGAGCAAAGCACTCTTTTTCTCCCTTTAACTGGACAATTCAGACCATTCCTATACTAACATGCACCCTGGGATCCAAACAAAAGGATATTACTTGAAGGATAAACAGGAGATACAACTACATAGCTTTAGTAAAGCTTTGTATTGATTTGGGTTATGTCATGAGCAAAGCTGGAAGTGGTCCCAGAAAGGGTGAGAAGCATAAGGAAGTTGGCAGTGGCTACACAAACCCAAGTACAAAAGCACTTCAGTAAGCAAAATGTGGGAAAAACAAAGGGGGAGGGGAGGAAGGTAATACAATAGGAAATTACAGGTAGTAAGTGACCAGCAACTTAACAAATATGGCTTAATGGAATCTCAGACAGATGGAGATTGGGAAGCGTGTAAGAAAGCTGTTGTGGTAGCAGGTTTGAGATTATCATTAGATTTAAAATGAATCTGACCAGGTACGTAGGTAATAACCATTAAGATTAAGGTTGCAGTCAAGAGGCTTTTTCCACACAAAAAAAAAGGTGGCTGCTTGAAGACAAGCAAAAAATCATTTTCCTTACTTTTATTTCTATTTATTTCTCAAGTATTTGCATAAGATGGAAAAGATGAGATCCACCAGCAGTGCAGGAAGGCGGGCAGGAGGCAAGCCTCCGCCGGGCTGAAAATAGCAGCGGCTCGGGGTGACTCAGGCTGGCTCACCTCGAGGTGTGTGCCTTGCTGCACCGGCAGCCAGGCTGGGCCCTCCCTTGGTAGCCGAGCAGAAGCACTGCAGGTTTTACCACAAGGTGAGCCTGGGGCACAGCCCAGCCAGCCCGCCCTGCTGGAGCCTGCACCATCCAGAAGCTCGGCTATTTTTTCCAACCACATCCTTCTAATAGAAGATAGCACGTAACAACTTTGTCTAATTTTGTCTCCGCTTGCGATTTTAAAGTTATCATGCACCGCTATTGCTTTATAATATAAAAACAATTAGACTTTGTCACCGGTATTATTTCCATTACCCGCTTGCCAAAGAGTGCCACGGGCTATCCGGCAGCTCTGTGCATCGGTTGGGCTGTGCCATCATGGATGCACTACAGCAGCACTTTCCATCAGGGGTGAAAAGTACAGTTGCTCTGTTCAATCCAAGCTATCTGCGTCGCAGCTGCATTTGCTTAAAATACAGTGTTGTTGAATCTATTAACATTTATCATCTTCTGGATATCATCTTCTGCTCTGATTAGCTTGTCTCATTCGCTACTTTCGTGAATTCCACGGGCTCTGTGTTTAAACATAAAACAGGACTGTTGTTCTACTTACTGCTGACCCACCTTAGAGTCATATCAAACAAGGCAGACACTGCTCTACAGTTAAGAAGATGTTTCAGTATAACAGGGCCATGCCTATCCATCTTCCCTAAGACTGACCACAAGTAGCCAGCCCTTAGCTGGACACTACAAATACAGAACAATTTAAAGAATGTTTTACTGCTCATTTTTTGAAAGTGCTTCTTGATTAGTTATACATTTTGGAAATAAAAATAAACTGGTAAGGCTTACTGTAATCAGAAGTCCTCTTTCTGAGGACTGCAGAAGACAAGGCTCCGAAAAGAACTGGTAGCAGCCTTCCAGTACCTGAAGGGGCCCAAAGGAAAGCTGGGGAGTGACTTTTTATAAGAGCAAACAGAGACAGGATGAGGGGAAATGGCTTTAAACTGGAAGAGGATAGATTTAGACTAGATGTCAGGAAGACATTCTTTACTGTAAGGGTGGTGAGATACAGGCACAGGTTGCCCAGAGGCTGTGGATGCCCCTCCCTGGAGGCATTCAAGGCCAGGCTGGATGGGGCTGTGAGCAACCTGGTCTAGAAGGACATGTCCCTCCTATAGCAGGGGGTTGGAACAGGGTGGTCTTAAAGGTCCCTTCCAACACAAACCATTCTGTGATTCTACGATTCCATATTCTTCCAGACAGCGCTAAGAAACACGCAGATATGAAAAAATAGCCTTTCTTTTTTCCCCACAACACACTGGATTATTCTATTATGAACATAGGTTTCTATAACAATTTACACTACTATAAGATGTCCCAAACTTGAAACAGTTTGTACACAAAGAGCGAGGAGCCACGGATACTAAGCACTTAAACCTCTAGCAGCTCAGCAGGAGCCTTTACAGAGTCATTTTCATCATAGCAGCACTGATGTTAAAAAGGCAGTGAAGTGCAGGCACTTCTCACTGCTTCACAGTCTGCACCCGACACATCCCACAACTATAGGAATGGCAGGAGAACAGAAGAAAATAACTCTTGCTGGATCCATATACAAAAAAATAGAATTAGGAAAATTTGAAGGCACACAGACAACACACTAATTCTAGCAGAACGGAAAGCCTGCTTTCCATGATGGTTTACAAGAACCTAAAAGTGACAGTCCCAATAAGATGGAGAACTTTAGAACAGCATAGCAATCTTACTTTCTACACAGACAGACCAAAAGCCTATGCTTTCAGATTTTATATCACTCTATTGATTGAGCATTACAGTCTAAGCCATGGCACTGCTCCATGGGCTCATCCACTTCATTGCCTGAAAGGTTAATTGCAGCCCAGCTGAATGCAACTGTGCAGATGCCTTACTACAAACAGGAACATATGGCTTTCAGCATAAGTTGGTGTTTTTAGTTAAAGCATGTTCAGTTACTACTTGGTAAAGTAAGATCAAACTAGATCATCTGAGCCACCTGGAATTTTTAACCTCAGCTTTGCTAGGATGCCCATCAAAATTCCACCGAGCTGCATTATTACTACTGAATGTTAACTGCCTCAGATTTCAGTTGTGCTATATTCATTATACTGAAGGATATGAATGTTTCAATGGAACTCTCCTACTTGCTTAGTTGTTTTCAAGAAATATTCAACTAGAGATCATTTGTTCTTAGCATCCCATTACCTAGAGGGGAGTGAACGTTCAAGAATGAAGATCCAGAAGAATTACTGAAGTCATAAAAAAACAACAACAACAACAAAAAAACAGTGATTCTGAAATTCCAGAAAGATAAAAAACAAACAAAACACAAAAAGCAAGCATTGTGCTTCCAACAACAACAAAATAATAGATCATGTCATGGCCACAACACAAATAAGCGAAGTTTGAAACACACCATTGTCTGCAGCAAATTAGATGTAATATACTTAACCCGGAGGGCAGCACAGGGCATAAACATACATGTATATAACAACCACCAAAAAAAAAAAGGGAAAAAGAAGAAAAGGGAAACAAAAGTTGAAGCTACTAAAAGATAGTATCTGAACACCATGGATAAAATGCTAGCTCTGCAATGTTAACAATTGAAGGGTTCACTCCAGTCGTAGCAGGGCAGTTTGTAACAACTCTGTTTGAGGGCTTTGTTTGCACCACAGATTTTGAGCTCCATATTAACAGTAAGACCATCTCTGTCCTAATTATACAGCAGTTCCTCAATGAATCTGCACGGAACTTTGAAGTTCCCTTAAAAGCAGTAAGAGCTCAAGGATAGGTCTCCACTAAATTCTGAGAACAAGAAAGTAACCCTGCATGTGAAAATACAAATTGCTGACTAAAAACATAACTTTAGAGATTTGCACTTAAAATAAAAATGAAATATTACTTTGCTTAGCGTTGGAGC